TTGTTCCTTTCCCATCTCCCAAAGTACTTATTGGTGTGTGTGTGTGTTTGTGTTGAATAGGGTATGGTGATGGTCAGCACGAAGATGAACCCCACCATCTGCTGGCAGTTTGAGGCGGCCATCGTCCTTCTCTTCCACGCCAAAACATTCCGTCGGGGCTTCCAAGTGACCGTGCACGTGGGGAATGTAAGACAGACGGCCACCGTGGAGTGCCTGCATGGAAAGGTTAGTAATAATCATTATAAACTGGGTAGTTAGAGTCCTGAATGCTGATTGACTGAAAGCCCTGGTATATCAGACAATATACCACTGGTATGACGCAAAACTACTTGTTTACTGTTCTAATTACCTCAGTAACCTATTTCTAATAACAATAAGGCACCTCAGGGGTTTGTGGTATATGGCCAATATACCACGGCTAAGGGCTGTATCCAGGCACTCTGCGTTGCGTCGTGCATAAGAACAGCCCTTAGCCGTGATATACTGGCCATATACAAGACCCCCTCGTGCCTTATTGCGTAAGTATACACTCCTTTTTCTTTAAAAAAATGTTTTATTATTTAAGTTGATAAATTATACGTTTTATTCGTACAGCGTCTTTCATACATTGTATTATTCAGCCAAATTTGTACAATGTCAAATGAAACCACAGTTAGCACCGCCTTAACACAGCAGTGCCTCAATATGGGCCGCATTCAGTAGGACACAACTTTGTGCAACGTTCAGATAGAGATTGTATTATATAGAACAAACATGCCACTCTGCCTTGTAGAGGAAGAGGAATCAGGTCAGCTCTATCCACAATGTCTGCCTACTGATTGTGGCCCTGCTGCTTTACGTGTCAACACAAACCGTTTTGTGTACCCTTCCCTGTTTTCACCACCAGGAGGAGCTGCGCACAGGCGAGAGGGCCGTGGTCTGCTTCCGCTTCATCAAACACCCGGAGTACCTCCGCATGGGCGCCAAGCTGCTCTTCAGGGAGGGCGTGACCAAGGGCATCGGCCACGTCACCAGCCTCCTGCCCAACTCACACAACCATGACCAGAACCAGATCCACGACCAGAACCAGAGGGAGGTAGAGAAATAGAGAGGAGGAAAAAGGAGGGAAGGAGAGGAAATGATAAGCTCTCCTGAACATGCCTCCCCCTCAGAGTAAGTTTGTGTGAACTGCCGGCGCCGGACGTCATCCCAGTAGTTTGGTATTGAACCACACACTGGTATTTTAATCCCCATTTGTGTGTATCTAAGTGAGTCTGTACTGTACTTTCCTCATCTGCCCTTCGTGGCATGTAGAGATGTGAAGCACCATTGAAACCCTTGATCCTTCTCAGTGGTGTATTCTGGAGCGGCGCTTTGATGAGTGTGGGTTCGGCCGCACGGCAAAGGTCGGCGTCTTAAGTCGAAGCCGGGTGACCTCTTGGAAGGCAGGCTAAGCTTTCATCTAATCTGCTGTGGATTGCTTGAAGGAACCATTCCCATCCCTCTCTGGCTCCCAACACCAGAGGGTCATTTCAAAACAGATACAATAGATCAAATGCATGCTCTCCCTGTTTTACTTGGACTGGACAATGTGGAACATACTCAGTATACCCATCCTTCGGAGGTTTAAAGGGATAGTTGGCTTTTTAAAAGTTTTAGCTCATTGTCGATTTACCTAAGGCAGGGTTTCCCAAACTCGCAAATAAGTGGCACTAGCACCAACCGTAAATGCTGCCATGCTAATTTTCTAAATGTGAAATTCAACTAAGTCTGTGTAGGGCAGCAATAATGTGTGAGGGTTGAGAATGAGTCAAGACGCTCGGCGTAGTCAAGTGACGTTTGCATTGCAAAGCCGTTCTTAAAGAAATGCAGGGGCAAGTATTTTAAGTGATGTGATGTTTTTCATAGTAGCGACGCCGCTTTTGTAACCCTGTTATGTCAACCCATTGAACCCAATGATGTCTATGTCATAGCTTCAGGCTCGTCTGTGTACAAGGCAGCTTTGTGCAGCTAGATACCCATGTGTAGAGTCTGCATGTTAATAGGGACTTGTGAAAATCTAATCAGACGAAATGGACTCCTAAATGACAAATATTTATTGAACTCTTGACTTTATCCCTTAGCCTTTACGGGGTTGTGTGCAATCATAACTAAAGCATTGAATGTACTGTACATTAACTTCTAAATACTATTTTGAAGCACTAAAATTGTAGTTAGAGTTGTCGATTTTGCACTTTGTATTTTTGGAATAGCTTCTGCATGTTTGTGTAGGCCAGAGGTTACCGAACCTAGTCCGGGAGAGCTGGAAGGTGTGCAGTAGTGAAACACCTGATTCAATTTATCATGGTGTTGAGGCGTATTGAGGTCTTTGTGACCACTGATGTATGCCGTTTATTCAAGTAACAGCTGATCTTTACAGTATCTTATATGTTTACGGTCATAAGAATTATATACATGTAGTACAGAAAGCATGCAGAGCGCTTTTCTTTTAGATTATATATTAAATATAATTATTAGCTTAGTTGAGACAAGTGGCAAGTTTGCAGTATGTGTATGCATTGCATCAAGGTTGTGTAAATAATATTAAACATGTTTTATCGTGACTTCTTTATTTCATGGACACTTTTGTCCCCATAGAAACATCAAAAGACAACAAATATTTTAGCATCTTTTTATTGACTTAAGAGCTGAACTTATTTGGCTGGATGGTCAACACAGATTGTTCACAGAACACATTTAATGTGAATTTTGCAGCTTAGCTGAAAGCAAATTTTTGAAACGTCACTTGTTTAAATTACTCAATTCCATTAATAAAATATATGTTTACACTTTTATGACTTTCATGAATAGGCTAAACATTAATAACTATTTATAAAGGGCCTACATACTATTAATGACTATTTCATTATTTACATTGAAATTATTAGGCATTTATAATAAAGGATTAAAAAGCATTTATAATGCTTAATCATGAAAGTTATAACGTGTAACCATAAAATGCTGGTCATATTCTGTCTGGTCCATATGAAGCATTGGATTAGGAGGTGATGTTGAGCGAGGCTCTTGAAGCTTGTGCATTCAACATTCATTATTAGCATTTCATAGCACAGCATGCAAGGCTACGTACAGAACTCACACACACAAAATGTTCTACAAAAACATTGAAAAATAAACATTCATAGGAAAAATGAAAGTAACACTACCACAACATTACAGAGCTTCAAATCTATGTGGAGCTACAGTGCCTTCAGAAAGTGTTCATACACCTTGACTTTTTCAACATTGTTGTGTTACAGCTTGAATTTAAAATGGATTAAATTGAGATTTTGTGTCACTGGTTTACACACAATACCCCATAAATGAAAAGCTGAAATGTCTTGGGTCAAAAAGTATTCAACCCCTTTGTTATGGCAAGCCTAAATACGTTTATATATTTTTTTGCTTAACAAGTCACATAAGTTATATGGACTCATTCTATGTGCAATAGTAGTGTTCAACATGATTTTTGAATGACTACCTCATCTCTGTACCCCACAAATACAGTCCCTCAGTCGAGCAGTGAATGGATGGTTCAACATTATAGTTACTTCACAATACTAACCTAAATGACAGAGTGAAAAGAAGGAAGCCTGTACAGAATACAAATATTCCAGAAAATGCATCCTGTTTGCAATAAGGCACTAAACTAAAACGGCAAGAAATTAACTTTATGTTCTGAATACAAATCGTAAGATTTGGGGCAATTCCAACATGTCACTGAGTACCACTCTTCATATTTTTAAGCAGGGTGGTGGCTGCATCATGTTATGGGTATGCTTGTCATCGGCAAAGACTAGGGAGTTTTTGGGGATAAAAATAAACAGAATAGAGCTAAACACAGGCAAAATCCTAGAGGAAACCCTGGTTGAGTCTGCTTTCCAACAGATGCTGGGAGACAAATTCACCTTTCAGCAGGACAATAACCTAAAATACCAGGCCAAATATACACTGGAGTTGCTTACCAAGACAGCATTGAATGTTCCTGAGTGGCCTAGTTACAGTTTTGACTTAAATCGGATTGAAACTCTATGGCAAGAATTGATAATGGCTGTCTAGCAATGATCAACCAACTTGACAGTGCTTGAATAATTTTTAAAAGAAAAATGTGCAAATATTGTACAACCCAGGTGTGCAAAGCTCTTAGACTTACCCAGAAAGACTCAGCTGTAATCGCTGCCAAAGGTGATTCTAACATGTATTGACTCAGTGGTGTGAATACCTATGTAAATTACATATTTCTGTATTTCATTTTCAATACATTTTCAAACATTTCTAAAAACATGTTTTCACTTTGTCATTATGGGGTATTGTGGTACATGAGTGAGAGAAAAAAAAATGAATTTAATCCATTTTGAATTCAGGCTGTAACACAACAAAATGTGGAATAAGTCAAGGGGTATGAATACTTTCTGAAGGCACTGTGTACCCACAGCAAGATTGTTTGTGATAACCTGCTAGTAAGATAATGGAAAATAGTCAAATACACAACCAATGTTTTTATATACTGCATCTTGTGTGTATATAAGCTCTCCTCTTGCCATGATGTAGAAAAAGCTTTACATTTCCAACTGCCACAGTTACAAACCCTTACAAATTGATTTTGCTCAGAAAATCCCACGTCTACAAAAAACACGGTTTAGAAGTCTCCATTACAAATGTTGCACGGTGTATACATTCCTACAGTGAAAAGGAAACAGCATGGCCATGTGTATATTATCAATACATAGGTTGAAAACCTTTAAGCATGATATGGTCCTTCACAGACAGGTCCAAAAGACCAAAAGCTTGAAGTGTAATGCTTGACTTTGACATTCAAAAGACCAGAAGCGTGAAATGTAGTGCTGGACTTTTATGTTCTTCATTCGCCTTTCTAAAGTAACTTCTTGTTCTTCAACTTCTTCAAGTCAGAGTAGTTTTCAGCAAGTAGGATGGAACGTGAGCCGATATAATTTAAGCCAAGCTCCTCTGCCGTGGCTTGATCCTCAGATACAGCTAAGAAGAAGAAAATACAATTTTAAAGATCATATAACTATGGTAAGCAGGGGGCTGAGATTCTCATTTAGATGGTCTCAATTTAGATTCAGCATTATTACATAATATTCTTAAGTGACAGGATTTCCCCCACTAGTTAAAGAAATCCAGTAATCCTTGCCAGATGAGGGATCTCCGTATGTGAAATGGCAGATATGTTTTTGTCAAGGGGGTTACGCAAGGAGCTGGTAGGTCTTTACAAGGCATGCGTGACTAAGAAATGTTAGGTCTTCACCAGTCTTCTAATCAGAGAAGTAGACCCCCAAGGGTAATTTTTCCCCCTCAGATATAGATTGAAAGTTGTGGTTTTATACTTTTCACTGAACATATTCTTTGACCTCCAGCACCGGTGGCAGTATTCACAACATCTCAGAGTAGGATTTTGACATTTAATTTGCCATAATGAATAAGATTACCAGTAAACTTTTTTTAAGCGCCCAGGCGTTTATTTGCTTTAAACGCAGAGCTCACCCTGTTATAATTTCGGTTTCTAGCTCTACAAGTTGATAAAAACAGCTACTGTCATTAAGTTCCCAGACAGTCCCGTTTGTTAATTAAAACACTTACATTTAGAAAGCACTGCAAATGTTAGGCTACAAAGTGGCGAAGTGGATCGTGGTAAAATTAGTTTGACGTTGGATATATATCTCTAACTAGCCCCATAGAGCCGAATGTCTGTCGAATATCCAACCTCTAACTGTACCCCAGTGGTCAGTTTTCTTTGCTGGCTACACAGACAGAAATGCATTTTGGCAGGTAGGGATCAATCATCCAGCGCGAGGTAGAGAGAGAGGCTTGAAAAACAATTATCAACTTTGGTAGAGATGCTGTGGAATTCCACTGGAGCAGTGCGACAAAATGTGTGCATGCATAACCTACTGGTAATTACTATTTTTTGACCCTGCATTTAATAGAGACTGGCATTTATTTTGCGATGCCCGGCCATTAGAAGAGACCAGCGTTTGTTGGAGGCTCGGCGTTTAATGGAAGTTTTACAGTATATGGACAGATCCTAGATCAGCATTCCTCCTCTTAGACGTTTTGTGGAAATGCCCCCTGGTCAAAACCACCGGATATGTACAGTGAGGGAAAAAAGTATTTGATCCCCTGCTGATTTTGTACGTTTGCCCACTGACAAAGAAATGATCAGTCTATAATTTTAATGGTAGGTTTATTTGAACAGTGAGAGAAAGAATAACAACAAAAAAATCCAGAAAAACGCATGTCAAAAATGTTATAAATTGATTTGCATTTTAATGAGGGAAATAAGTATTTGACCCCTCTGCAAAACATGACTTAGTACTTGGTGGCAAAACCCTTGTTGGCAATCACAGAGGTCAGACGTTTCTTGTAGTTGGCCACTAGGTTTGCACACATCTCAGGAGGGATTTTGTCCCACTCCTCTTTGCAGATCTTCTCCAAGTCATTAATGTTTTGAGGCTGACGTTTGGCAACTCGAACCTTTAGCTCCCTCCACAGATTGTCAATGGGATTAAGGTCTGGAGACTGGCTAGGCCACTCCAGGACCTTAATGTGCTTCTTCTTGAGCCACTCTTTTGTTGCCTTGGCTGTGTGTTTTGGGTCATTGTCATGCTGGAATACCCATCCACGACCCATTTTCAATGCCCTGGCTGAGGGAAGGAGGTTCTCACCCAAGATTTGACGGTACATGGCCCCGTCCATCGTCCCTTTGATGCGGTGAAGTTGTCCTGTCCCCTTAGCAGAAAAACACCCCCAAAGCATAATGTTTCCACCTCCATGTTTGACGGTGGGGATGGTGTTCTTGGGGTCATAAGCAGCATTCCTCCTCCTCCAAACACGGCGAGTTGAGTTGATGCCAAAGAGCTCGATTTTGGTCTCATCTGACCACAACACTTTCACCCAGTTCTCCTCTGAATCATTCAGATGTTCATTGGCAAACTTCAGACGGTCCTTTCAGTCCTTCACGGCGTAGTGTGTTACCAATTGTTTTCTTGGTGACTATGGTCCCAGTTGCCTTGAGATCATTGACAAGATCCTCCCGTGTAGTTCTGAGCTGATTCCTCACCGTTCTCATGATCATTGCAACTCCACGAGGTGAGATCTTGCATGGAGCCCCAGGCCGAGGGAGATTGACAGTTATTTTGTGTTTCTTCCATTTGCGAATAATCGCACCAACTGTTGTCACCTTCTCACCAAGCTGCTTGGCAAGGGTCTTGTAGCCCATTCCAGCCTTGTGTAGGTCTACAATCTTGTCCCTGACATCCTTGGAGAGCTCTTTGGTCTTGGCCATGGTGGACAGTTTGGAATCTGATTGATTGATTGCTTCTGTGGACAGGTGTCTTTTATACAGGTAACAAGCTGAGATTAGGAGCACTCCCTTTAAGAGTGTGCTCCTAATCTCAGCTCATTACCTGTATAAAAGACACCTGGGAGCCAGAAATCTTTCTGATTGAGAGGGGGTCAAATACTTATTTCCCTCATTAAAATGCAAATCAATTTATAACAGTTTTGACATGCGTTTTTCTGGATTTTTTAGTTGTTATTCTGTCTCTCACTGTTCAAATAAACCTACCATTAAAATTATAGACTGATCATTTCTTTGTCAGTGGGCAAACGTACAAAATCAGCAGGGGATCAAATACTTTTTTCCCTCACTGTATATGTCCACTTTTCCTATACTAAACCACTGCTCTGAATACAATATGGAGCTGCAGCCCACAGACACACACTACTGCTGAATTCCAAATTGACCCCTCTTCACCCTGCCAATGAGTTTTGCCACATTTCTTACACCTATCCAATCATTTCAGATCTACAGGAGTGCCTAGGGCTTAGGAACTAGGGGTGGAGCATACAGTGCATTCGGAAAGTATTCCGTCATTCGGAAAGTATTCAGACCCCTTGACTTTATCCACATTTTGTTATGTTACAGCATTATTCTAAAATTGATTAAATTGTTTTTTCCCCTCATCAATCTACACACAATGCCCCGTAATGACAAAGCAAAAACAGGTTTTTAGAAATGTTTGCAAATGTATAAATAAATAAAAAAAGAAATCACATTTACATAAGTATTCAGACCCTTTACTCAGTACTTTGTTGAAGCACCTTTCGCAGTGATTACAGCCTCAAGTCTTCTTGGGTATGATGCTACAAGCATGGCACACCTGTATTTGGGGAGTTTCTCCCATTCTTCTCTGCAGATCCTCTCAAGCTCTGTCAAGTTGGATGGGGAGCGTCGCTGCACAGCTATTTTCAGGTCTCTCCAGAGATGTTAGATCGGGTTCAAGTCCGGGCTCTGGCTGGGCCACTCAATGACATTCAGAGACTTGTCCCAAAGCCACTCCTGCGTTGTCTTGGCTGTGTGCTTAGGGTCGTTGTCCTGTTGGAAGGTGTACCTTCGCCCCAGTCTGAGGTCCTGAGCGCTCTGGAGCAGGTTTTCATCAAGGATCTCTCTGTACTTTGCTCCGTTCAACTTTCCCTCGATCCTGACTAGTCTCCCCAGTCCCTCTGGATCTCTGTCATAGTGACCATCAGGTTCTTGGTCACCTCCCTGACCAAGGCCCTTCTCCCCCGATTGCTCAGTTTGGCCGTGCGGCCAGCTCTAGGAAGAGTCTTGGTGGTTCCAAACTTCTTCCATTTAAGAATGATGGAGGCCACTGTGTTCTTGGGGACCTTCAATGCTGCAGAAATGTTTGATACCCTTCCCCAGATCTGTGCCTCGACACAATCCTGTCTCTGAGCTCTACGGACAATTCCTTCAACCTCATGGCTTGGTTTTTGCTCTGACATGCACTGTCAGCTGTGGGACCTTATATAGACAGATGTGTGCCTTTCCAAATCATGTCCAATTAATTGAATTTACCACAGGTGGACTCCAATCAAGTTGTAAAAACATCTCAAGGATGATCAATGGAAACAGGATGCACCTGAGCTAAATTTAGTTTTTTTATACATTTGTAAACATTTCTAAAAACCTGTTTTCGTTTTGTGATTATGAGGTTTGTGTGTAGATTGATGTGGATTTTTAAAAGTAATCCATTTTAGTATAAGGCTGTAACGTAACAAAATTTGGAAAAAGTCAAGGGGTCTGAATACTTTCCGAATGCACTGTATGTGTGGCCAGGCTAGTGTTCCTCCCCTCTCTCCTGCTCACCCCTAGCAGGTTCCTTGGAATGTAGCCCTCTCGGTCTCCGCAGCGGGCCCACCACCATTCTATCTCGTCCTTGTCCTCGCGCCGCAGCACCGTCATGCAGTCGCCTTCCTGGAAGGCGAGCTCGTCATCGTCCTCGGCCTCGTAGTCCCACAGGGCGTACACCACCCCACGGTTCATGATGCCCATCTTCTCCTGTACACCTGCATCAACACAAAGTACCACCCACCTCGTCAGGAACAAGCCGTTAAGATTCAATTTCCGCTAAAACATGTTATGGAGGACCGAATGTTAGTTGGAGTAGGTGAGGGTAGCTGAATTTTGTAAACAAGTGGAGGGGTCGAGTCGGTTGCAAAATGGAAAAAGAGTAACAGGCTGTTTTGTTGTTTTGAGCTTTGTCTCCAGTCAGCGTACACTAGCGGTCTCACCGTAGAGGAACTGGGAGCACTGTGCGTAGCCCTCCTCCATCTCCTCGCACTTGTCGGCCGCTGTCTGCATGTCACTGTAGGTGGTGGCGAACACAGCAGCCCCGGACTCCACCAGGAACTTACACACCTGCACGTTATTACAGGAGGCCGCACAGTGCAGTGGAGTCCTGGGAGAGAGACAGACACGGAGAGGTAGAGTGAGGTAGGGATGGAAGAAAGGGAGGGAGGGAGGTAGAGGAAGAGAGGAGGGAAGAGAGGGAACAAGGTGGGAGAGTTGGAGGAGATGAGAGCAAGAGAGGATGGGTGAGGGAGAGTAGGGGAGTGAAGGAGGGGAGAGATAAAAATACAATAACTTCAGTAATAGTGGGCGACTGGATAACATCAGCCACATGAACACATTGAGACAGTCTTGGATGTGACGTGCTACTGGTTGCTGGGGGTGACAACAGCTTTTATAACAGCTACTGTAAAGTCACTGTAAAGTGATCTTGGCTACTGTAAAGTGACAACAACCACTATAAATATACTGTAAAGTGACAACAACCACTATAAATATACTGTAAAGGGACAACAACCACTATAAATATACTGTAAAGGGACAACAACCACTATAAATATACTGTAAAGGGACAACAGCAACTGTAATGCGACACTGGCTACTGTAAAGTTATAATGGCTCACCAGCCATCGCTGTCGGCAGCGTTGGCGTTCACGCCAAACTGCACCAGGAACTTGACGATCTCGGTGTGGCCAGCGCAGACGGCGTTGTGCAGGGCTGTGATGCCCTCATCATTGGGCAGGCTGGGGTCATCCACCTATAAGGCACAAAGTTAATAGGCTTCAAGACATTTCCTAGACAAGGTCAGTTATCTGTCTTTACCCCTTACGGTTGATGTTAGGATTTGGGGTGGGATTAGCTGATCTTAGATCTGTGCCCAAGGGCAACATGGTTGAGGTTAGGATTTGGGGAGGGTTTACCTGATCTTAGATCTGTGCCTAAGGGCAACATGGTTGAGGTTAGGATTTGGGTAGGTTTTAGCAGATCCTATAACTGTGCCTAAGGGCAACTTCTAAGCTAAGCGTTTTGACGGACATAGACCAGCGTTTCTAGTTGCTTAAGAGTACTACTTAAGTATTACTTGCAGCGGCATTGCAAAGCCTTTGCTTATGGGACGTTTGTGTGGAAGAGTCGTCTGAGGTGATCCAGTCTGTGGTATTAACATTGAAACAGCAGAAATTAGCTGGGCTAATGATATAAAACTCACATCACGGAGTTCGAATCCGGCCAACAGCCCTTTGACTCCCCACCCCCCTTATCTTCCCAACACTATCTCTTCAATTAAAAGGAGTGGGACTGCCCCACACATAAAAAATAAAAATAAACTCACATCATAGATGACCCTCTGCACCAGGTCATACTCGCCCTCCAGAGATGAGTCCAGCAGCAGGGCCAGGGGGTTGAACTTGACCCGCATGCCGTGGTCGATGCGCTCTGAGCCGACCTTGCGCAGGTTGGTCCTCTTGCCCTGCAGGAGGGGTGTAGGAGGAGAGGAGTGAGGGGTGTAGATGTTTCACAATTACAATATAATGCAGTGACATCTGCTAGCTATGGTCATCGAAATTGCTAAAAGGTTTTAAAATGAATTACAATAAATGCAACAGTTGGACAATGGATGAAGATACTCCAAATTTTTAGAATTTGTATTATCCATGATATTGACTGAATTATAGCACATGCAACATTTTACTGGCTCGGACAAATAATGAATGGAGTTCAGGGACTTTGGTGGAAATTCTGGTATTCAATTTGTCAATTTTTTATGCATTCAAATCAATACATTTTGTTATTGTATCAGGTATTTTTTTTGTGTGTGTTAAAAAATCAAATGATATGTGCCTCATTTGCATAAATACACTGGGTGTATTTTCGGTAACATCGATAGCAACATGTTTTCACACCAAACATATTTCATTAAACTGTTGACAGCCCCTCTCTCTGAACGCTCGAGAAAGGAATGAAGAAGCGAGAGTAGAGTAGGAGATGGAAACGCACGGTGGTGATATATTCTGTAGCTAAAGTTAATGTGTCAGCCTAATAATTATAAAAATATGAAAAATGCCCTATTCAAAATCAAATTCACTATAATTGTAGGTTAACTCTGTAACCTCAATTAACAATCAAAGAACCAACAGCATCGCCTAGGCCTATACGTTCACTCCCAGACTCATGAATAGAAAGTTTGGAGCGTAGCATAAGGTAACCAGTCCATCCAGTATGCATAATAATACAGTCCACACTCATTACTAGAATTTGTTTAATTTTGGAGTATAGGCTAGACCAATTATGCACCAAAGACATCTTAAATCTGCCGTGCGTAATATGTGGTAGGCTATGTATTGTATAATGGCACAATCATTATTTAAATGCCTATGTTAAAAAAACAAAAAAACATAGAAAGCACTGACCATTTCGTTGTGTTAGGCTTTGAAACAACATCCACAATGACCATGTTTTTCACTCAGTTTCAACCTGCTGTTGAACGTCTTTCTTCAAATTGATCATCACAGTTAGGTGAGTTTTAAAAGCATGATGCTGTTTTGATGATAAGTGTTTGATGTGATTTTCGATCGCATTTGCATTGATGTCAGAGGGGTTAGGGGACAATAGAGCACTGAGTACCAGGCCATTAGCGACCTGATGGTCGTTAGCTTGTTGGGTACTACCAACATACAGTATGTCCAGAGTGTATAAGAGGAGATTACAATGACTCAGTCACATGGAATTTTACTGCGGTCATGACTCATGACTGCCGGTGTGGAGGTAATACGGTCACCGCAACAGCCCTAGGGACAAGTGAATTTTACACTCTTCAAACACAGATGGCTGAAAAAGACAGATCCTCAGGTGGGCGGGGCATGCGCGTTGCTACATCTGCCACTATAAATACATAATACTGTATATGTCACACAAACAATACATCAATCAAAATGGTTTCCCAATACCAAATATCTCACCATCCGTGTAACCCAATATCCAAACCAGCACACCTTTTAGTATGTTTGGCTAAAACATGACCTCATACTATGTATTATGCTAGTATGGGCTATTTGGACATAGAATGTGGGTGTGGCTACATACCGGTGGCAGAGTAACCTGTCCCGTGACCTCTGGAGCCTGCATGCTGAGGTTGTCCTCCCCCAGGTCCTGCTCCCCCGCGCTGGGGTATGGAGGGGGCGGGTAGGGTGGGTACTCCTCCATGTAGGCTTCTGGCTGATGGGGGGGCGGGGGGCAGGGCTCCGGCTCCTCTTCCTCCAGCGATGGGGGCAGGGTGTGGCTGGAGGAGGAAGAGGGCTCTGGGATGGGCGAGTGGGGGGGCTGGGGAGGAGGCACCTGTGTGTCTTCCTCGGTCTCAGCAAGGGACACGGCGGCGTCGAAAACTTGGGACGTACCAGTGCGGTCTGGGGATCCACCGGCACTGGCGCCCTCCTTCCATGTTCCTCCACCTTCACCCTCGTAGGGGGACGCCACAACAGTCTCCATGGCGGCTAGTGTGGTCTTCTGGTAGAGCAGCTTCTGGATGTTGGGCCCCGCGGGGCCCTCAGGCTCTGTGATGGAGCTGCGCTTCTTGAGGGGCCGCGGGGCATGGTGCAGCCGGCGGCGCAGGGCCTCCAGGTCGGCGTCGCTGGGGTGCCGGTGGGGGTGTGAGATGAAGGGGAGGAGCTTGGTGGGGCTGAGGGGACGAGGGGCCCGCTCTGTCTCCTGGCTCTCGGGGGCCGGAGGTGCCAGGCCGGGACCCCCCTGGTCCACCTCGAAATCGCCGGCCCCCAGATAGGTGGAGTCCTGGAGGAGCGACTGCTGCCCCCCACTGCCTGGGATGACTGGCTTTCCATACACTATCAGAGAGAGAGTGAATGGTCAATGCGTGCTAATGGGATCAAGGAAGCTGCTTCATAGCAATAAAACAACCTAGCACGCTAACACAATCACCATTCCATCTTTTAAAAGAGTGTAAGGCTGTTAGTAGGGAAATTTAAGGAAGGTATTTTGCTAAACAATAACAGAAAATGCAGAATGATTTTATCAAATTACTCAGTTTAGTAACATAGTAAAGATCCAGGAGTCATAGGAGTAGCCATACACTACAGTAGCCATGGCTCCTTCTCTTACCTCTGGGCTGCGTGCGTGTCAGAGTGCCCCCGCCTGTCCTGGGCTGTTGGGTGTACATGGAGTAGATGGAGGAGGCCGCCACAGTCTGTGGCTTCTGGAGGACAGGCACTGCTGCTGTGGACTCTGGAGGATCCGGGGTGAAGGGGCGCACCGTAGCCGCTGGAAGAGCCTCCTGCTTTGGGGGCAGAGGCAGGGTGTGGCTGTGGATGGGAATGGGCGGAGGTGCACACAGATGGAGGGAGGCAGCCGGTTTGGCCTTGCCCGGGAAGGTGCCTGTGCTGTAGGGGTGTTTGCCGAAGGTCGGGGGCTTGGTAGGAATAGGAGGTGGCACCTTGCCGAGAGCCTTACCACCAGCCTATTGAGTCAAGAAGACCGTAACATGCATAGTATAATGAAAATTAAATACATAATATTATCACTGCAACAAATGTCAATTAACAGATGGTTATTTTTTATTATTATTACCCCTTTTTCTCCCCAATTGGTAGTTACAGTCTTGTCCCATCGCTGCAACTCCCGTACGGACTCGGGAGAGGCGAAGGTCGAGAGCCATGCGTCCTCCGAAACACGACCCTGCCAAGCCGCACTGCTTCTTGACACACTGCTCGCTTAACCCAGAAGCCAGCCGCACCAATGTGTCGAAGGAAACACTGTACAACTGGCGACAGAAGTCAGCCACAAGGAGTCGCTAGAGCGCGATGGGACAAGGACATCCCGGCCGGCCAAACCCTCCCCTAACCAAGACGACGCTGGGCCAATTGTGCGCCGCCTCATGGGTCTCCCGGTCGCGACACAAGGGAGGCTAATTAACAGATGTTTTTATCCAATACAACTGACAGTTCACACATACAGTACCAGTCAAAAGTTTGGACACACCTACTCATTCCAGGGTTTTTCCTTATTTTTACTATTTTCTAATAGTGAAGACATCAAAACTATGAAATAACACATATGGAATGATGTAGTAATTTTATATTTGAGATTCTTCAAAGTAGCCACCCTTTGCCTTGATTTCATAGTTTTGATGTCTTCACTATTATTCTACAATGTAGAAAATAGTAAAAAATAAAGAAAGACCCTTGAATGAGTAGGTGTGTCCAAACTTTTGACTGGTACTGTATATCCAGTATTAATATGTGGGCCATGAGGGAATCAAACCTACAAATGGTTTTACCACCCTCCAACCCAAAAAACAATACAACCCTGTATATTGAAAATACATTGAAGCTGCTTCATTGACTAATCGGGCATTTTTGGAAAAAGCAAAACAATGGAAAGCAGAATAATATGTATTCTCTGTGGGTCTGTGATCATTTATAGGAAGAAAATAAATTGGGTAGGGAAGAACATAGCAAGGGAGCGAGCATCTTTTAAGAATATGAATGGTTCCTAAAATGCTTCTGAAAATCAGTGCAGTACCTGGGCATCCCTTAAGAGGTCCTCGCTGCTCTGATTGTTCCGTGAGGGGACAGGAGGTGGGGCGTCAAACATAGAAATGTGACGCCCCTTTTGGTCCTTGAGGGTCTCGGCATCTCCTGCAACCACAGAGGAAACCACATCAGAACATTATATGAACCATATGACATTTACATTATCAAAACCATATGACATCCATATCATAATCAGAACATTATCCAAACCATATGACATCCACATAAGAACGTTAACCGAACATTATCAAGATGGTCAGAACCATATACACATCACAATCACTGTAACCTGGAGCAAGTCTTTATTTTTAATATATTCCCAGCATCAGTTTAATAAAACACTATGCTACATCTCATGGGATGACCTGAAATTAATTTCTAAATTAATTAAATAATATGGCCTTAGCAAGAATTCCCTTCATTAATTCAAAATTGCCCATTCTTTTCTATTAGGATTAGTTAATTCATGCAGTACATTTTCAATTCACTTCCTGAATTGAAAATGGAACTGAACCCAACCCTGGTTCCTAGCCAAGTCGAAGGGAGATGGTTACCTGAGCCCTGTGAGGAGAGGCTGGACATACGAGGCAGAGTAGAGGACATGCCATGATGACTGCCACTGGACTCTGCACTGGAGCTGGACCAGTCGGACAGCTTGGACGTCTTGGATGACTGGAAACCTGTCAGAGAGAGAAGTGTTAACACATAGAAATAGCACTTGAATTGCAAAGGCAAATATATGTCCACAATCTACTACTACACAGTTACACACATGCACACTAACACACGGCCAACGCAGTCACTTGCACAAACACAAGTGCACACACGCAATTGCAATTGAACACACACACACAAAGTAAAATCATCCATAACGAAACAACGTTTTTACCTGAGTAAGGTTTAAGCGGTCTAGGAGGGGCCTTCATGGAGGAGTCTGGCATGGGTAAGGTGGTGGTGCCGTCGGGGTAGGCAGGCTTAATCAACAGCTCCTGTCGGCTCGGCACCGGAGGCCCTGGGGCCGCAGTGGAGGACAGGATGTAAGGGCCCACGGCCGCCACCCTGGAGGGGCCACACGGTTGCAGGGCCTGGCTCTCTGTGTGGACCTGGAGAGAACGTTTGGGTAACACTTTATCTAAAGTTAGCAGGTATGATGCTTTATTAGTTGTTATTAGTATGTATGAGCCTTTATAATATCTTATTATGAGCCTAATAACATATGTTATGTCACCCTATGTAGGGCAGGGATGGACAACTGGTGGCCCACGTTTTTTTAGGCCCGCGGATCAATTTCCATTAAAAACTAAATAATAATGTTTTGTTTTTAGGAACTCAGTCGGGGTCTCGATTTACCGTTGAGAGGTACATTTTTTTTTTAAATCTCCGCTGTCAAGAAGGGGGCTGCTAAAATGTTTTACTTGCATGGGGGGGGGGGGGGTCCACAACATTTCGCTTAGTGCCCCCAAAAGTATGGATGTGGGTACTTGATGTAAGGATGTGAGCCTTGAGCCACTGCAGACCCTCATGATAAGTTCAGATTTTCTGTGGCCCCCACCCCCATCAAAGTTGCCCATCCCTGATGTAGGGCATTGTAATGTAAAAGATTACTCCTGCACATATCACATTGATCTCATGGACTGTCAGTCCTTGCATCCATAGCTCCGTCTATGAATTGGAGTGGTGCTACATTTCCCTGGCCCCATTCCTCAGCTTAGTTCCAATAAATGTGGGGCTGATGTGGTCTGATGAACACTGCCCTAAGGTAACAATAAAGCTTTTGAACTTTGAACCTCTACTTGACTCACGGGCAGGTTCTCCTTCTGCTGTAGCGCTGCCTTCTTCTTCCAAAGGCGTTCGCGGAGCTCGGCCACTCGCTTGTCCATGGTGGCTACTTCCAGGTTGCGCTTGCTGAGGCTCTCGCGCTTCTGCTGCAGCTTGGCACTCTGGTCCTGGTTCAGCTTGTTCCTCAGCTTAATCAGGGGGAGAAGGGAGAGAGAGCTAGAGTCAGCTTTATGTTTATATAGAGCTTTTCCCACTACTGAGCCGAACTAAGCCGAGCCAAACCAAGCTCTACTGAGTTGGCCTGGTTACATATCCACCATAGTTGCTGGAACCGTGCTGAAAAGGACAGTATGAAAAGAAAACTTCAGAGCCAGCAGTTTTGTTCTGGGGTATACACTATATATAAAAAAGTATGTGGCCACCCCTTCAAATTAGTGGATTTGGCTATTTCAGCCACACCCATTGCTGACAGGTGTATAAAAACGAGCACACAGCCATGCGATCTCCATAGACAAACATTGACAGTAGAATGGCCTTACGGAAGAGCTCAGTGACTTTCAACATGGCACCATCATAGGATGCCACCTTTCCAACAAGTCAGTTCGTCAAATTTATGCCCTGCTAGAGCTGCCCCGGTCAATTGTAAGTACTGTTATTGCGAAGTGGAAACGTCTAGGAGCAACAACGGCTCAGCTGTGAAGTGGTAGGACACACAAGCTCACAGAACGGGACCCCTGAGTGCTAAGGTGCGTAGCGCGTAAAAATCATCTGTCCTCGGTTGCAACACTCACTACCAAGTTCTAAACTGCCTCTAGAAGCAACGTCAGCACAATAACTGTTCGTCGGGAGCTTCATGAAATGGGTTTCCATGGCCGAGCAGCTGCACACAAGCCTAAGAACACCATGCGCAATGCCAAGCATCGGCTGGAGTGGTGTAAAGCTTGCCGTCATTGGACTCTGGAGCAGTGGAAACACGTTCTCTGGAGTGATGAATCACGCTTCACCATCTGGCAGTCTGACGGACGAATCTGGGTTTGACAGATGCCAGGAGAACGTTACCTGCCCGAATGCATAGTGCCAACTGTAAAGTTTGGTGGGGGAGGAATAATGAGTTTGGGCTAGGCCCCTTAGTTCCAGTGAAGGGAAATCTTAACGCTACAGCATACAATGACATTCTAGACAATTCTGTGTTTCCAACTTTGTGGCAACAGTTGGGGAAGGCCCTTTCCTGTTTCAGCATGACAATACCCCTGTGCACAAAGCGAGGTCCATACAGAAATGGTTTGTCGAGATCGGTGTGGAAAAACTTGATTGGCCTACACAGAGCCCTGACCTCAACCCCATCCAACACCTTTGGGATGAATTGGAACGCCGACTGCGAGCCAGGCCTAATCGCCCAACATCAGTGCCCGACCTCATTAATGCTCTTGTGGCTGAATGGGAGCAAGTCCCCGCAGCAATGTTCCAACATCTAGTGGAAAGCCTTCCCAGAAGAGTCGATGCTGTTATAGCAGCAAAGGGGGACCAACTCCATATTAATGTCCATGATTTTGGAATGAGATGTTCGACGAGCAGGTGTCCACATACTTTTGGTCATGTAGTGTGTGTTTGTTGTCCCGCTGTGTTGATGATGTTATTTTTGCCGCAAAAAGAAACTTCTGTGGAAGCAGACAAATCGGATCTTCTCTTACCTGCAGCTCCTTGTAAAGACGCTCCAGCTCGCCGGCGGAGCTCGGGCCGTCATTCGAGGGCTCCATCTTGACGCTTTTCAGGGTCTCCAGCTGCCTGCTCAGCTCCTCCACTCTGGAGACGGCCACCAGGAGCTCCCGCTGCTTACTCTGAAACATCCCGTTCATCTGCTCTATCTCATCCACTATACGGCCACGCAAATCAACAAACACACACAAGCACACACAGACAGACAGACAGACAGACACAGATAAACAGACACAGTAGTCAAATTTGAAAAGTAACATTTAGAGAATGCTAATGGTGTGTTAGGTTAAACCAAAATCTAATTTTCCGTTAACGTCAAGATTTTATCTTAAACCTAAACATGTTCTGTGAACGTCTGGTACGGCAGATCAAAAAATAATAATAATCGAGAAATGTTTCAGCTATCATTCCCCCAAATTGCACCTTCAGGTTCAAATGTATTATTATAATAATTTTGATAGTAACAGTCTTTTCGAGAGCCATGCATCCTCCGAACCACGGCCCTGCCAAGCTGCACTGCTTCTTGACACACTGCTCGCTTAACCCAGAAGCCAGCCGCACCAATGTGTCGGAGGAAACACCGTCCAACTGACGACCGAAGTCAGCTTGCAGATGTGCGGCCCAACACAAGGAGTCGCTAAAACCCTCCCCTAACCCGGACGACGCTGGGCCAATTGTGCGCCACCTCATGGGTCTCCCGGTCACGGCCGGCTGTGACACAGCCTGGGATCAAACCTGAGGCTGTAGTGACGCTTCAGCACTGCCATGCAGTGCCTTAGACTGCTGCGCCACTCGGGAGGGTAGGTTCAATTGTTTTTTTGATGTCCAAATAATCTTAATACACAACGTTCCCATAACCTTCAGGTGTACATTCTCGGAATACACAGAAAACTGGACAAAATAACATTCTGGAAACTAAAACCAGGAATCCTCTTTTGAACCAAAAGTAGTTAGCTGGGTGTACACTGTAGGCCTAAGCCAACCAGCAAAAATTGCTGTTTTCGTGCAAAGAAATGTCAAGTGTGTCAATTTGGAAAAAAACATGTTACCCAGAAAGCCCTACCCAGCTCCTTTCCCAAACCCCTCTTCATCGAGTGTCCTCAACTCCTCGCTCTCCCCTTGGCACTGACCCAGTTTGCTGTTGCTGAGGCGTTTCTGCTCCACTTGACCCTTGAGTGCCCGCACCCGCCGCAGCTTGGTCTCCTGGTTCTCAGCGTTCTCACGGAGCTGCCGTAGTCTCTCCTGCTCTGACGCCTGCTGCTGCTGCTGCCGCTGCTCCTGCAGCTTCAGGTAGCGCAGACGCTGCTCCTAGCCATCCAAACAAGAAAACATTTTCAAGTTCAGATTAAAGTTTTTAATAATACCCACATGGTGTATTAAAGTAGTCAAAGGTGTACTATTTGGTCCCATATTCCTGGCACACAATGACTACATCAAATCTGTGACTATACAAACTCTGCATTTGCAGTTTGTTTTGGGTGTCTTTTGTATCATGTCTTGCCCAATAGTAACATAATAATAATATGCCATTTAGCAGACGCTTTTATCCAAAGCGACTTACAGTCATGCGTGCATACATTTTTCTGTATGGGTGGTCCCGGGGATCGAACCCACTAACCTGGCGTTACAAGCACCGTGCTCTACCAGCTGAGCTACAGAGGACCAGCTGAGCTACCGTAACCAAATACGGAATAATGTATTGTTCTTTTGGAGTCACTTTTAGTGCCTGTGAGAATTGAAGATGTTTCTGAACACTTCTACATTCACGTGGATGGTGCCATGATTATGAATTAATCATGAAGGAAGCATGAATAATGATGAGTGAGAAAGTTAGGGCACAAAGATGATACCCCCTCGCTCTGGATAAGAGCGTCACCTTAATGACTAAAATGTAAATTGCTAACCTCCACTGTTACTGGTAATGGTGAGAGGTTAGCATCCTTTATTGTAGCCTTTGTAACTGTCTAACTCAGTGTTAGACCTTCCCATGTCTTTAAAGAAAGAGACTTGTCTTTATTAATAGAGCTTAATAAAGAGAAGGCAGAGGGGACAGTGTGAAGAAGAACTGTCTAGGAAGAAACCTTGAGAGGAATCAGACTATTCAACTGGAAGCCTATGTCAAGCTAATAAGTATTGGTAAGAAAGGGAAAGAAACAACTATTTTTATTGGACATTGTCTCGTCTGGAGCTCTACCATACAGGCCCATCTGCTTCACGCTGGCCTAGGCATGAGAAAAGGTGAAGAATTACATGTCTTGACCTTATTTAGTGGCTGTACTCCTCTGCCAAACGAGTCAATGTTCTTGTTTGACATCAACTGCACTGATCTACAAATCCCCTTGCATCATAAATAACTACTGATTATTATTTATAGCCACGTCAGTCAGTCACAATTTACCCACAACGTATCATGGTTTTGATGCTCTCCAACATGGCCAATGTCTTGCCCTACCTTTGAGGCCAGGAGCTGCTGCTGCGAATTGATCTGCTGCTGTTGCCGTGACGCCATCTCCTGCAGCTCCGAGAGGGTGATATCCATGCGAGGCGGCGCCACCTGGGGGGTAAATAATGACAATGAATGTGTCACACCACACCATTTAAAACCATTGGCTTCCATCTTCCTTCATTTTACTGTAGTACCGTTTTTTTCACTCACCCCATTCTCCATGCATCGGTCCACAGGGACCTTGACCATGTTCCTTTTGGCTGGGTGATCGGAAACCCTTGATCCGCCTATACAAGACAAAATACAGCGGTTTTGTGAGTGCGTGTGTTTGTATCTAACTGTTGGAGAGGTACGTGCATTTGCTGCACATCTGATCACGGGGAGTATAAAAAGGTGAGAAGCTAATTGCTATTTGGGGAAAATTCCACATCAGGAGGAATCTCTGTTAAAAGGGAGCTCCACTTTGTTTGTGTATTACAGTCTGTTTATGACCAAAGTTGGAACAAACATGACCGGAAAACCGACACATGACCCGAGCACTGCACCATGAATAGGGGTCATACTCTGAGGATACGGGATGAATAGGACAAGCATGAGTTGTAGAACTGTTCATTATGTAATAACTGGTGGAGCAGCCAAAAGAACCAGGCCTCGTCTACACAGTTGCTCTTCCCGTGCCAGTGTCTGACGGTTATGCAATGCTGTTTTGCGAACAGCTAATATGGGTAACCCAAAAAGGCTGAACAACAAGGCTGATCCCTTTAATAAGCTCTTTGGGGGGGCACAACTCAGGCTTATTAGTTATACAACCCAAATCCTACACCTTATTTGGTAATAACGGCACAAGCAAAACAGGGAGCCGAGCCAGACTGGTTGTAATTGACTACAATCGTGTCCCGAGAACATATAATAAAGCCTTTGTGCTGTGATATCCCTTGCACTGTTCTGTTGCGTAATATGGCTTTGTCCTGCGTAGGGGGCCCATCATTCCAAGCAACTAGAAACCCAAACACATGGAACTACACAAGGTTCTCAAATGACCAGAGAACCTTGGGTTAAGAAAGAAAGGGCTTTCTGTTGTTTTCAAGTTGCATAAAGGACTAAGTTATGAGGGGGCATCACATAGTGGTACCACTGAAAAGAATATGACCTTGGCTAATCGTCTCATGAAAACGCAATGCGGATATTCACAGAAAAAAGAACAAGCACAAAACCAAAATCACAGCAATGAAAGTAAAGTGTACTCTTCCCTATGGGCTCACTTTAACCATTAGCATGGGTATTTTCATTACGCCGATTCTGTGCAAAACGTTTCTTAAACGGAAGCAAACAGAACAAAAACGGGGAGGGACCTACCTAAATTTGTCCAATAGAAACTTGTTTTGCTCTGTTTGCTTCCGTTTGGTTCTTAAATGGTAAATGTTTTCCGTAATGAATACACCCCAGCTGAGAGGGCGGTTAACGGGTAGCATGCTACCTAAGACTACATGGTGAAGTTGTTTAAAGGTGCTTACACATTTGGAAGCTAGGTGAATTGCAACAGCACTAGACTGCATTCAAAACAAATATCCCCCCTCCCCCGCATTCAATTTCCCCGTAACATGGCGGAGACTCGCGCTTGAGCCTTTTACTTCCAGTTTTGGTCTACCAGCTTCAAACAGCTGTAAAAACTATATTTTTTGTTATTGAAAATATATTTCACAGCGATTTAGATGGTACAATGATTCCCTACACTATTCAGGGCTTGTTGTCTCACATAAACAGACATTGAGTGAACAGTGTAGAATTTTAGCACCCAGGAAATGACAGAGCGATTTCTACATTGGCCGCTAGACCTGATTTCCGCTAAAGACAGCCACAAAATCAAAACAGCTTTCCCATTTTGACAACAGATGCCGGCAGGAGAAATCTATAGGCGAATATCACAGCCAATCACAACACTGGCGGGTAAGTAATACTGTGAAACACTATCATTACACTATTACTGCAGATATATTTCTGAAATTACAATACAAAAATAAAATAGAAATCCTATGTGTAGCACCTTTAAAGTGGGTTAAAGTGTTCAATATTCTACATCATATGGGGGTGTGTTCAGAAACTGGATTGTGTTATTACAACCACAAAGGATGCTATGACAATAATAGTGCCACTGGGTTATGGCAAGTTCACAAAATATAGAAGAAAACGCAAAAGCAGCAAAAGAAGAATTAAGGATGGCTGAATCATATTTTTGCCAGGCATTTACATAAGCTTTAGTGTTTGTGGGCCATGTGGCGGCATGGTATTGCTTAGGTTAGCCACAGACAGTGCCCGTGGCATATTTTATTTATTTATTTCACCTTTATTTTACATTTTAGTCATTTAGCAGACGCTCTTATCCAGAGCAACTTACAGGAGCAATTAGGGTTAAGAGCCTTGCTCAAGGGCACATCAACAGATTTTCCACCTAGTCGGCTCGGGGATTAGAACCAGCGGTTACTGGCACAACGCTCTTAACCACTAAGCTACCTGCCACCCCAGGTACGCCAGTTGAGAACAAGTTCTCATTTACAACTGCGACCTGGCCAAGATAAAGCAAAGTAGTGTGATAAAAACAACAACACAGAGTTACATATGGGGTAAAACAAAACATAAGGTCAAAAATACAACAGAAAATATACAGTGAGGGAAAAATGTATTTGATCCCCTGCTGATTTTGTACGTTTGCCCACTGACAAAGAAATTATCAGTCTATAATTTTAATGGTAGGTTTATTTGAACAGTGAGAGACAGAATAACAACAACAAAAAACAGAAAAACGCATGTCAAAAATGTTATAAATTGATTTGCATTTTAATGAGGGAAATAAGTATTTGACCCCTCTGCAAAACATGACTTAGTACTTGGTGGCAAAACCCTTGTTGGCAATCACAGAGGTCAGACGTTTCTTGTAGTTGGCCACCAGGTTTGCACACATCTCAGGAGGGATTTTGTCCCACTCCTCTTTGCAGATCTTCTCCAAGTCATTAAGGTTTCGAGGCTGACGTTTGGCAACTCGAATCTTCAGCTCCCTCCACAGATTTTCTATGGGATTAAGGTCTGGAGACTGGCTAGGCCACTCCAGGACCTTAATGTGCTTCTTCTTGAGCCACTCCTTTCTTGCCTTGGCCGTGTGTTTTGGGTCATTGTCATGCTGGAATACCCATCCAAGACCCATTTTCAATGCCCTGGCTGAGGGAACGAAGTTCTCACCCAAGATTTGACGGTACATAGCCCCGTCCATCGTCCCTTTGATGCGGTGAAGTTGTCCTGTCCCCTTAGCAGAAAAACACCCCCAAAGCATAATTTTTCCACCTCCATGTTTGACGGTGGGGATGGTGTTCTTGGGGTCATAGGCAGCATTCCTCCTCCTCCAAACACGGCGAGTTGAGTTGATGCCAAAGAGCTCCATTTTGGTCTCATCTGACCACAACACTTTCACCCAGTTCTCCTCTGAATCATTCAGATGTTCATTGGCTGTCACGATCGTCTTGACAAGAAGGAGTAGACCAAGGCGCAGCGTGTGAAACGAACATGACTTTAATTAGTAAAGCACAAGTACAAAACAAAACACGATCGTGAAGTCCACAGTAACACTGACTGAACACGGAACAAAAACCCACAAACACAAGGTGAAAACAGACAGTATAAATATGGCTCCCAATCAGAGACAACGAGCCAACAGCTGACACTCGTTACCTCTGATTGGGAGTCACTCATCCAAACAAAGAAATACAACCACCTAGAACAACCCAACCAAACAGAACACCACGAAACGAACACACCCTGGCTCAACATACAAAGTCCCGGAGCCAGAGCGTGACAGTACCCCCCCCCTAAAGGCGCGGACTGCGACCGCGCCTCAAAACCCCAAACAGGGGAGGGCTGGGTGGGCATTTCTCCTCGGAGGCGGCTCCGGCTCCGGGCTTGACCACCACCCTTCCACAATCCCCCCGTAGCGCCCCCGGTCCGGTCTGACCCCGCTGGCTGGATCTGGACCGGACATAGACGGAGCGGATTGCTCAAACTCCGTAGTGGAGTAGCTGACCTGATCAGGCACCGGCCTGACGACGCGCACCCCTGGCTTGGCGCGTGAGGCAGGAACGGACCGGACCTGGCTGACGATACGCACCCTTGGCTTGGTGCGTGGAGCCGGAACGGACCTCACCAGGCTGACGACTCGCATCCTTGGCTTGGTGCGAGTAGCAGGAATGGGCTGGATCAGGCTGACGACTCGCACCCTTGGCTTGGTGCGAGTAGCAGGAACGGGCTGGACCAGGCTGACGACGCGCACCCCTGGCTTGGCGCGTGAGGCAGGAACGGACCGGACCTGGCTGACGATGCGCCCCCTTGGCTTGGTGCGTGGAGCAGCGACAGGCCGGGCTGGGCTGGCGACGCACACCGTAGGCTTTGTGCGTGGAGCAGGGACAGGCCGGGCTGGGCTGGCGACGCACACCGTAGGCTTTGTGCGTGGAGCAGGGACAGGCCGGGCTGGGCTGGCGACGCACACCACTGACTTGGTGGGAATGGCAGGAACAGGCCGGGCCGGGCTGACGACGCGCACCACTGACTTGGTGGGAATGGCAGGAACAGGCCGGACCGTACTGGGGACACACACCACTGGCCCCACGCAGGGATCAGGAACGGGCCGGACCGGACTGGTAACACACCCCAGTACCTCTCGCCGTGCCTCCACACTTTCCCTCTCCTCTGTGCCCAGTGGCCCCCCTAACCTGGCGGCCTTCTCTGCCAACGCTTTGCACCGCTCTAACCCGTACACCTGCTGCCCCGACGTCGTGAGCCCCCCCCTAAAAATTTCCTGGGGGTCTCTCCTCCCTCTTGCCAGACTCGCAATCATCTCCTCCCACGTCCATCCTCTCTCCTCGTCACGCTGCTTGATCCAGTCGAGGTTGCCACGGAGATCTGCCAGCGATGGCTCCTGAACACGCTGCTTGGTCTGGTTATGGTGGGGTTTTCTGTCACGATCGTCTTGACGAGAAGGAGTAGACCAAGGCGCAGCGTGTGAAACGAACATGACTTTAATTAGTAAAGCACAAGTACAAAACAAAACACGATCGTGAAGTCCACAGTAACACTGACTGAACACGGAACAAAAACCCACAAACACAAGGTGAAAACAGACAGTATAAATATGGCTCCCAATCAGAGACAACGAGCCAACAGCTGACACTCGTTACCTCTGATTGGGAGTCACTCATCCAAACAAAGAAATACAACCACCTAGAACAACCCAACCAAACAGAACACCACGAAACGAACACACCCTGGCTCAACATACAAAGTCCCGGAGCCAGAGCGTGACATTGGCAAACTTCAGACGGGCATGTATATGTGCTTTCTTGAGCAGGGGGACCTTGCGGGCGCTGCAGGATTTCAGTCCTTCACGGCGTAGTGTGTTACCAATTGTTTTCTTGGTGACTATGGTCCCAGCTGCCTTGAGATCATTGACAAGATCCTCCCGTGTAGTTCTGGGCTGATTCCTCACTGTTCTCATGATCATTGCAACTCCACGAGGCGAGATCTTGCATGGAGCCCCAGGCCGAGGGAGATTGACAGTTATTTTGTGTTTCTTCCATTTGAGAATAATCGCACCAACTGGTGTCACCTTCTCACCAAGCTGCTTGGCGATGGTCTTGTAGCCCATTCCAGCCTTGTGTAGGTCTACAATCTTGTCCCTGACATCCTTGGAGAGCTCTTTGGTCTTGGCCATGGTGGAGAGTTTGGAATCTGATTGATTGATTGCTTCTGTGGACAGGTGTCTTTTATACAGGTAACAAACTGAGATTAGGAGCACTCCCTTTAAGAGTGTGCTCCTAATCTCAGCTCGTTACCTGTATAAAAGACATCTGGGAGCCAGAAATCTTTCTGATTGAGAGGGGGTCAAATACTTATTTCCCTAATTAAAATGCAAATCAATTTATAACATTTTTGACATGCGTTTTTCTGGATTTTTTTGTTGTTATTCTGTCTCTCACTGTTCAAATAAACCTACCATTAAAATTATAGACTGATTATTTCTTTGTCAGTGGGCAAACGTAAAAAATCATCAGGGGATCAAATACTTTTTCCCCTCACTGTATATACAGTGTGTTCAAATGTAGCAAGTTATGGAGGTAAGGCAATAAATAGGCCATAGTGCAAAATAATTACAATTAGTATTAACACTGTAATTATTGATGTGCAAGAGATGATGTGCAAATAGAGATACTGGGGTGCAAATTAGCAAAATAAATAACAATATGGGGATGAGGTAGTTGGGTGGGCTAATTTCAGATGGGCTGTGTACAGGTGCAGTGATCGGTAAGGTGCTCTGACAACTGATGCTTAAAGTTAGTGAGGGAGATAAGTGTCACCAGCTTCAGAGATTTTTGCAATTCGTTCCAGTCATTGGCAGCAGAGAACTGGAAGGAATGGCGGCCAAAGGAGGTGTTGGCTTTGGGGATGACCAGTGAGATATACCTCCTGGAGCGCATATTACGGGTGGGTGTTGCTATGGTGACCAATGAGCTAAAATAAGGCTGGGATTTGCCTAGCAGTGATTTATAGATGGCCTGGAGCCAGTGGGTTTGGTGACGAATATGTAGCGAGGACCAGCCAACAAGAGCGTACAGGTCACAGTGGTGGGTAGTATATGGGGCTTTGGTGACAAAACGGATGGCACTGTGATAGACTACATCCAATTTGCTGAGTAGAGTGTTGGAGGCTATTTTGTAAATGACATCGCCGAAGTCAAGGATCGGTAGGATAGTCAGTTTTACGAGGGCATGTTTGGCAGCATGAGTGAAGGAGGCTTTGTTGCGAAATAGGAAGCCGATTCTAGATTTTACTTTGGATTGGAGATGCTTAATGTGAGTCTGGAAGGAGAGTTTACAGTCTAACCAGACACCTAGGTATTTGTAGTTGTCCACATACTCTAGGTCAGACCCGTCGAGAGTAGTGATTCTAGTTGGGTGGGCGGGTGCCAGCAGCGTTCGATTGAAGAGCATGCATTTAGTTTTACTAGTGTTTAAGAGCAGTTGGAGGCTACTGAAGGAGTGTTGTATGGCATTGAAGCTCGTTTGGAGGTTTGTTAACACAGTGTCCAATGAAGGGCCAAATGTATACAAAATGGTGTCGTCTGCGTAGAGGTGGATCTAAGAGTCACCAGCAGCAAGAGTGACATCATTGATATACACGGAGAAAAGAGTTGGCCCAAGAATTGAACCCTGTGGCACCCCCATAGAGACTGCCATAGGTCCAGACAACAGGCCCTCCGATTTGACACATTGAACTCTATTTGAGAAGTAGTTGGTGAACCAGGCGAGGCAGTCATTTGAGAAACCAAGGCTATTTAGTCTGCCAATAAGAATGCGGTGGTTGACAGAGTCGAAAGCCTTGGCCAGGTCGATGAAGACGGCTGCACAGTACTGTCTATTATCGATCGCGGTTATAATATCGTTTAGCACCTTGAGCGTGGCTGAGGTGCACCCATGACCAGCTCGGAAACCGGATTGCATAGCGGAGAAGGTACGGTGGGATTCGAAATAGTCGGTGATCTGTTTGTTAACTTGGCTTTCAAAAACTTTCGAAAGGCAGGGCAGGATGGATATAGGTCTGTAACAGTTTGGATCTAGAGTGTCACCCCCTTTGAAGAGGGGGATGACCGCGGCAGCTTTCCAATCTCTAGGGATCTCAGACGTTACGAAAGAGAGGTTGAACAGGGTAGTAATATGGGGTTGCGACAATTTCGGCGGCTATTTTTAGAAAGAAAGGGTCCAGATTGTCTAGCCCAGATTATTTGTAGGGGTCCAGATTTTGCAGCTCTTTCAGAACATCAGCTGTCTGAATTTGTGTGAAGGAGAAGCGGGGGGGCATGGGCAAGTTGCAGCGGAGGGTGCAAAGCTGGTGGCCGGGGTAGAGGTAGCCAGGTGGAAAGCATGGCCAGCCGTAGCAAAATTCTTGTTGAAATTCTCGATTATTGTAGATTTATCGGTGGTGATAGTGTTTCCTAGCCTCAGTGCAGTGGGCAGCTGGGAGGAGGTGCTCTTATTCTCTATGAACTTTTGGAGTTAGTGCTACAGGATGCAAATTTCTGTTTGAAAAAGCTAGCCTTTGCTTTCCTAACTGCTTGTGTATATTGGTTCCTAACTTCCCTGAAAAGTTGCATATCGCGGGGGCTATTCGATGCTAATGCAGTACGCCACAGGATATTTTTGTGCTGGTCACGGGCAGTCAAGTCTGAGGAGAACCAGGGGCTATATCTGTTCTTAGTTCTGTATTTTTTGAATGGGGCATGTTTATTTAAGATTGAGAGGAAATTACTTTTAAAGAACAACCAGGCATCCTCTACTGATGGAATGAATCAATATCCATCCAGGATACCTGGGCCAGGTCAATTAGGAAGGCCTGCTCGCTAAAGTGTTTTAGGGAGCGTTTGACAGTGAACCGTTACGGACGCAGGCAATAAGGCAGTGATCGCTGAGATCCTGGTTGAAGACAGCGGAGGTGTATTTAGAGGGTAAGTTAGTCAGGATGATATCTATGAGGGTGCCCATGTTTACGGATTTAGGGTTGTACCTGGTAGGTTCGTTGATAATTTGTGTGAGATTGAGGGCATCTAGTTTGGATTGTAGGATGGCCGGGGTGTTAAGCATATCCCAATTTAGGTCACCAAGCAGTACGAACTCTGAGGATAAATGGGGGGCAATCAATTCACATATGGTGTCCAGGGCACAGCTGGGGGCTGAGGGGGGTCTGTAGCAAGCAGCAACAGTGAGAGACTTATTTCTGGAAAGGTGGATTTTTAGAAGTAGAAGCTCAAACTGTTTGGGCACAGACCTGGATAGTATGATAGAGCTCTGCAGGCTCTCTCTACAGTAGATTGCAACTCCACCCCCTTTGGCAGTTCTATCTAGACGGAAAATGTTGTAGTTGGGGATGGACATTTCTGAATTTTTGGTGGCCTTCCTAAGCCAGGATTCAGACACTGCTAGAACATCAGGGTTGGCGGAGTGTGCTAACGCAGTGAATAACTCAAACTTAGGAAGGAGGCTTCTGATGTTAACGTGCAGACAACCAAGGCATTTACGGTTACAGAAGTCAACAAATGATAGCTCCTGGGGAGTAGGAGTGATACTGGGGGCTGCAGGGCCTGGGTTAGCCTCTACATCACCAGAGGAACAGAGGAGGACTAGAATAAGGATACGGCTAAAGGCTTTAAGAACTGGTCTTCTAGTGCGTTGGGTACAGAGAATAAAGGGGGCAGATTTCCGGGCGTTGTAGAATAGATTCAGGGCATTATGTACAGACAAGGATATGGAAGGATATGAGTACAGTGGAGGTAAACCTAAGCGTTGGGTAACAATGAAAGAGATAGCATCACTGGAGGCACCGATTGAGCCGGTCTCGGCGTGTATGGGGGGTGGAACAAAGGAACTATTTGAGGCAGTTTGAGAGGGACTTGGGGTTCTACAGTGAAATTGTACAATAAGAATGAACTGGAACAGCAATAGGCAAGGCATATTGACATGGGAGAGAGGCATAAAGCAATCACAGGTGTTATTAGAGAGAGCTAAGACAACAACTGGTAATGGCGATAAAGTTTGGGCTGAGGCTAAACAGGACAGGGTACCGTGTAAAGGAACAGTCCAGCAGGCATCAGCTGTGCAACTGAGTGATCATAAGGTCCAGTGAACAGCAATATGTGAGTCCGAGAGCAGTTCGAATTGGTACTACAGCACAGCGATCAGGAAGCACGGCTGTCATTTCCGTGTGCTAGCGGGCCGGGGCTAGCAGATGGATCTTCGTGGTCGTCGCAACGGGAAGCCTGTTGAAACCACAGACGATTACGTCGGCAGACCAGTCATGATGGATCGGCGGGGCTTCGTGTCGACTCTAGGAGGTCCCGTCCGGTTGACAGAGAGGTAGATAGCCGGGAAATGTGCCTGACTCAAGGCTAGCTCAAGGCTGATTAGCCAACAACAACGTTCATTTGGTTGCAGCTAGCTAGTTGCGATTATCCAGTGTTAAAGGTCCAGTGATTCAGTGATTCCGGCAGAAAATCCGATAGGTTCTGGGTCGATAACGCGCTGTGCAGACAGTGCAGACTGGCCGATAATAGTCCAGGCTAGAGCTGGCTGGTAGGTAGTGCAGGCCACGGACAATGGTGAAAAACCGCTAACGGTGGCTAATAGCAAGTAGCTAGTTAGCTGGTTAGCTGGCTACTCCCCTCCGGTAGACAGAGAGGTAGATAGCCGGGATATGGGCCTGCTCGAGGCTAACTGATGCTTGCTTCGGGGGCAGTGGTGATTAGCCTACAGCAACATCCATTCGACATCCATTCGGTTGCGGCTAGCTAGTTGCGATCCGGTGTTAAGGTCCAGTGATTCAGTTATTCTGGCAGAAAATCTGATGTTCTGGGTGAAAACTGCTAACGGTGGCTAATAGCAAGTAGCTAGTTAGCTGGCTGGCTAGTTTCAACTGGAGATTCTAGATAAAGGTGAGTAAATAATAGAATCCGTTCCACATTGAGTGAGGCGGGTTGCAGGAAAGTATATTTAGTAGAAGGATGAAAAGTGTGATAGGGAAATATATACGTAAAATTCAAAATAAAATACAAAAAACAGGCTATTTACATGGACACACAAGAGAACACGACCGCACTGCTACGCAATCTTGGAATACAAAGCAAAATTATTTAATTGATTTTAAGAAAAGAAAAATGGCCATGTAGCAACTCTAATATGGTAATTGTATTGAAATTCATCATCCCAACAATGGGGACTATGAAGTGTGTCTCCCAGTTAGAATAGTAGCTGGCTGTATTGACTTTGGCTCAACTGTAATGGAATATAGGACGAATAGAACATTGTGTACACCACACACATAACGGCCAGTAAACACACCTGCCTACCCAGGCGTCTCCATTTTCAGGCTACGCTTGACACATTCAGTTACCACACTATTTACCATCCAGGGTACTGGTGGGGGATGTGTGTTTGTGGCTCTCACCCGACTCTCGGCAGGGTGCCCGGTCGTGGCGCAGAAGGAAGCGCACCTCCCCCCTCTGCTGTTCCCAGCGCTGGAGCACGTCCAGCATTCGCTCTCCGTCACCAATGGCGCGCTCTGGTGTGACAAAGAAAGATGCCTGAGTAAGCAGTTCTTGAGTCCAAGGCCAGGTTCCATTTTGGTCCCTTACCTCAACCTTTACCCTTCAGGTGTTCACATCTGACGGGATAGCGGTACTGCTTTCACCCATTACGTCACCTTTCAGATTAGTGAACGCCGAAGTAGTAGGGGCTAGGGAGCGAAATGGAACTGGGCCAAAGTTGACATTGAACAAGATTTTTTTGGTTCCTCCTACCCACCACTGAAAACTCCGGCCTTCGATTGGTTTCATTCAGTTCAACACTTTGATGAGTGCAGCCCTGCATAACATAAACCTAGAGTAAACACTGCCGTTAAAAGTTAGCCAGGAAGTGTCCTGGCTGGCCTAGCAGTAATTCCACAGCCTCACACATGACTACGGTGTTGGCATTGGTTTGAATCTGGCCCATGCCCTTCTAGCACACCTCTCCTCCTTACTTTACTGTCTCTTTTTACTGTCTCTGTCCAATAAACTTGATCCTTAGTAAGAAGTTGGCACTCTACGATAAGTTTAAAAGGCATAGAATTGAGAAGACTGAGTGAGAACCGTAATGAAACTCACCTGAGCCTCGCCACATCTCGGCTAGGTAGCATTCTCCCTCCCCCGGCTCCTTGCACAGCTCCACCACATCCCGACACAGCGTTTCCGGGGTAACGGGCACCTCTGTGAAATGCTGGTTGTTGTTGCTGAGGTACACGGTGAGGAACATCTAAGACACAGACAGTGAAAAACAGACCATTAGAACAGTGTTACTTGACATTGGTGCTGTGTACAGTATTCTGGACTGAGAAACCCTGTTATAGAACATCAGGGTCCAACTCCAGACAAAGACTGAGCCAATTCAGAGAAACCCATCGCAGTGGGGGACTTTTCTCGCAAAAATAGTGAGAAAATAATTAGAAGCACATTAGGTCCCTGCTCTCTTCGAAACAGATGGTCAATGTCTATTTTGGATCCAAATATCTTACGGGGAAGTCATTTGTCAGTGTGGTCTTTTTTCTAATAGGGGCAATTCCACTGTAACGGAATTGCGCTGAGACTCAGATTTTTCACTTAAAATGTATGCCAAACAAAAAACATTGATTTAAAAAGTTTAACAAACCAGTAAATGCACAAGGACTACATTTAAGATTTTACACTGAACATTTTACAAAAAAACATTTACTGGAAGAACTGTGCAGATGCAAAGTTTGGTAACAGAATTTCGGTTAAATCTCCCTCAGTTTTATGTGAACCACGTTTTCCAAACACTTAAAAATCTGCTTCGAATTCATATTCAAAGAAGTCTGTAGAAAGAATGGGGTGTCAGCTATGACATCACACCTTGAGTTTAAAAAAAATATATTTTGGTTATTAAACTACACTAAGTGAAGTGGATTTATACCCGGTAACAGAATTGTGCCAATAGAATTTAATCAATGGTCCTTGATTTGTACTACACAGAAATGCATAATTTTGGATATGAATGTCATTCACAAAAAGGTTGTCCTTTGCATATTTGGGTATTATTCTACACACTGGCTATTATTTTAATTAGCTCCACCACCAAACAAGACCAAATTTGGTTGGTCCAGACCGGACCAAAATCTGAACCAATCATAGACGTCTATTTTTCACAAGTTTGAACATCAAATTACAGCACAGTAGAGCCTTGTAGAGAACAATACGTCACAGAACAGTAGAGTATAGTTCAGTACAGTAGAGTTCAGTACAGTACAGTCAAGTAGAGTATAGTTCAGTTCAGTACAGTAGAGTTCAGCAGAGTATAGTACATTACAGTGTAATGTACTCTACAGGACTTTACTGAACTCTATTCTACTTTTCTTTACTATACTGAACTATACTCTACTTTTGTTTACTGTACTGTGCTTTCCAAACTTATGAAACATAGGCGTCCGGACCGGACCAAATATGAACCAATCGTGGACGTCTATGTTTGGGCCGGTCCAGATGTCTGTGGACGTTGAAATCAAGGCTGGTCTGGACCAAGAAACGACGTCTGTGGACGTTGAAATCAAGGCCAGGGCAGACTGACCAAATAAAAATTTGAAAGAGAGGGGGCTCATGGGTAGGTGTCAGTAAGAGTCAGGAGGTGACATTAATTAGAGATGGAGAGAGAGAATTGAGAGGTTGTCCAGACTTTTCACACTCTTGCTTTGACCACCAGATGACAGAAAGAGAAAGGAAAACATTTATCAGCTGAACATAATAGTATGTCAGTGAAAGGGAGAATAGTAGCAGGCGACCCAACTGTTGTTTGTGACTACTATGATTTCCCATTGTAGCCAATTAAATAGCAAAAACTCTGCTACCAATTTTTTGGAAATTCTGTTACCGATCTGGTAACAGATTTTAGTTTTAATCACATAAGAATTCATTTTAAAAAATCTAAACACTATAACTAACTGGCAGGGCCTATAAAAAAAACAAAGCTCGGGGCCTATGATTTCTTAATCCGGCCCTGCTCATGAGGGAGAGAAATTAGAAAATATCTTAAAGATATGTGGACTTTTGGTAACAGAATTTTAACACACATCGTAATGCTTCTTAAACTTACAGAAGGCAGAAAAGGTAATCCTAAACTATACTGAACAAAAATAAACGCAACATGTAAAGTGTTGGGCCCATGTTTATGAGCAGAAAAAAAAGATCCCAGAAATTTTCCATATGCACAAAAAAAAAATGTCTCTCTAATTTTGTGCACAAATTTGTTTACATCCCTGTTACTGAGCATTTCTCCTTTGCCAAGATAATCCATCCACCTGACAGGTGTGGCATATCAAGAAGCTGATTAAACAGCATGATCATTACAAAGGTGCACCTTGTGCTGGGGACAATAAAAGGCCACTCTTAAATGTGCAGTTTTGTCACACAACACAATGCCACAGATGTCCCGATTTTGAGGGAGCATACAATTGGCATGCTGACTTCAGGAATGTCCACCAGAGCTGTTGCCAGATAATTGAATGTTCATTTGTCTACCATAAGCCGCTTCCAAAGTCGTTTTAGAGAATTTGGCAGTACGTCCAACTGGCCACACAACTGCAGACCACGTGTAACCATGCCAGCCCAGGAACTCCACATCTGGCTTCTTCACCTGCAGGATCATCTGAGACCAGCCACCAGGACAGCGGATGAAACTGAGGAGTATTTCTGTCTGTAATAAAGCCCTTTTGTGGAGTATTTCTGTCTGTAATAAAGCCCTTTTATGGGGAAAAACTCATTGTGATTTGCTGGGCTTCGCTCCCCAGTGGGTGGGCCTATGCCCTCCCAGGACCACCCATGGCTGTGCCCCTGCCCAGTCATGTGAAATCCATAGATTAGGGCCTAATGAATTTATTTCAATTGACTGATTTCCCTTTATGAACTTTAACTCAGTAGAATCCTTGAAATTGTTGCGTTTATATTTTTGTTCAGTATAAATATAAGTGTTGATATTAGTTGGCAGGCGTCTAATTCAACATTATTGTGTTTAGATGAATTTGTACTACCGTAAGACTTTTTCTGGTAGATGTATTCTAAGACCCCCTGTTTGACAATAAATCAAAGCCTTTGCTTATTCCTAATTTTGAGAATGGAAAATACTTGCCTTCGGAAAGTATTTAGACCCCTTGACTTTTTCCACATTTTGTTATGTTACAGCCTTATTCTAAAATTGATTCAATTGTTTTTTCCCCCTCATCAATCTATACACATTACCCCATAATGACAAAGCAAAAACAGGTTTTTAGAAATGTGTGCTAATTTATAAAAAAAAAAAAAAAACTGAAATATCACATTTACATAAGTATTCAGACCCTTTACTCAGTTCTTTGTTGAAGCACCTTTGGCAGCGATTACAGTCTCGAGTCTTCTTGCGTATGACGCTACAAGCTTGGCACATCTGTATTTGGGGTCGTTTCTCCCATTCTTCTCTGCAGATCCTCTCAAGCTCTGTCAGGTTGGATGGGGAGCGTCTCTGCACAGCTTTTTCAGGTCTCTCCAGAGATGTTCTTTTGGGTTCAAGTCCGGGCTCTGGCTGGGTCACTCAAGGACATTGAGACTTGTCCCGAAGCCACTCCTGTGTTGTCTTGGCTGTGTGCTTAAGGTCGTTGTCCTGTTGGAAGGTGAACCATCGCCCCAGTCTGAGGTCTTGAGCGCTCTGGAGCAGGTTTTCATTAAGGATCTCTCTGTACTTTGCTACATTCATCTTTCCATCAATCCTGACTAGTCTCCCAGTCCCTGCCGCTGAAAAACATCCCCACAGCATGATGCTGCCACCACCATGCTTCACCGTAGGGATGGTGCCGGGTTTCCTCCAGACGTGACGCTTGGCATTCAGGCCAAAGAGTTCAATCTTGGTTTCATCATACCAGAGAATCTTGTTTCTCATGGTCTGAGAGTCTAAAGGTGCCTTTTGGCAAATTCCAAGCAGGCTGTCATGTGCCTTTTACTGAGGAGTGGCTTCTGTCTGGCCACTCTACCATAAAGGCCTGATTCGTGGTGCTGCAGAGATGGTTGTCCTTCTGGAATGTTCTCCCATCTCCACAGAGGAACTCTAGAGCTCTGTCAGAGTGACCATCGGGTTCTTGGTCACCTCCCTGACCAAGGCCCTTCTCCCCCGATTGCTCAGTTTGGCCGGGCGGCCAGCTCTAGGAAGAGTCTTGGTGGTTCGAAATTTCTTCCATTTAAGAATGATGGAGGCCACTGTGTTCTTGGGGACTTCCAATGCTGCAGAAATGTTTTCATACCCTTCCCCAGATCTGTGCCTCGACACAATCCTGTCTCGGAGCTCTACGGACAATTCCTTCGACCTCATGGCTTGGTTTTTGCTCTGACATGCACTGTCAGCTGTGGGACCTTATATAGACAGGTGTGTGCCTTTCCAAATCATGTCCAATCAATTGAATTTACCACAGGTGGACGCCAAATCAAGTTGTAGAAACATCTCAAGGATGATCAATGGAAACAGGATGCCTGAGCTCAATTTCGAGTTCTATAGCAAAGGGTCTGAATACTTATGTAAATAAGGTATTTCAGTTGTTTATTTTTAATACATTTGCAGAAATTTCTAAAAACCTGTTTTCGCTTTGTCATTACGGGGTATTGTGTGTAGATTGCTGAGGATTTTTTTTTCTTTAATCAATTTTAGAATAAGGCTGTAACGTAACAAAATGTGGAAAAAGTCAAGGGGTCTGAATACTTTCCAAAAGGCACTGTATGCCTTAATCTCTCAAAAATATAGACTCGTAGCTTTCATTTGTCACCCAATTTGACATGGTCCTATGAACTTCACGTTGGTGCTTATGGGTCCTTTTACAAAGAAATTACCATAGGGAATTCCACGAATAATAATGGTGTTATTTCGCCATCTGGACTGAGCCAGCCCAAAGACAGAATGGGGACAGTCTGGTACCTACTCCAGAATCCCCTCTGGAATTGTGAAGGGGTGAATGCAGTTCTGAACACCTTTTCAAAAAGAGAAAACTGGGTCTCAAATTCCAATAGAGCCAAGCCCCAATCTTTGAAAACGAAAACATGATGACGAGACAACACTTTCAAGGACACCGGTCCTCGAGAAAAGGGGGCAGGTTCTGTGAATTTGACCTTTCACTAGATTCTACAGGAGGTCAACAGTTTCATTTCAAATGCGCAAACGCTGCAGCAGACCACGGTGACAACTGTATATGGGGGACAATAAAGGGTTATAGAGCCAAGTGCAAGTCAGCAATTTCTTCGCATCATAAATAGCAGGCCAAGCCAAACACATTCCGCTGCCCAAAGGTATAGAGGATGCAAAAAGCAATCATTGGCTTGTTGCTTCGTAGAGGTGGTCTGGCATGTGGCCTGTTAGAGCTATACCAATGAGGTAACAGATGGGCTTTAGACTGAAGATGTGCCCCAAATGGCACCCTTTTCCCTACAGTACATAGTGCATTGCATTTGACCAGGGCCCATAGGGTGCCATTTGGGACACACACAGAGAGTAACATGGAAGCTGTCCTGTAGACTGCAGCACTTCGTTCCCACTAACAACCGACAGAACCTGCCATTCAGAAAACCTCTGCTTAAAACCCGTTATAATTTGGAGATGCCACTATAAAATCAGGAGACTTAGATCTTACTAAGCTATTGATCTGAGTGGTTTTCAAATTCTTTGTCAAACTGAGCTGTCTAACAATTTCCTGAAATCTATGGAAGGTTTTCAAGCCTGAAACCATTCATGATAAATCTATGATGTCAAGCACAGGTGGATTATGGAGAGAAACATAATTATGTCGAGGCAACAGTATAAAATAATAAAGCCTTCCACATCCGCCACAACATCTGGTATTTAACAGAAGTGGCTGAGAGACACGTAACAATGCTAAACCACTCGCAATGCCGACTGATCCGACATTTGTGAAATCGAGGCACAAGCTTGCCGGCTGACACTCCACGCACCAATTCAAGTATCCGGTTTGAAGCAGCTGTGCACTAAGGGTTTAAAAATAGGCTTTTTTTGCCTAAATGCTCTCAATCTGGGCACTGGATCAGACTACAGCTGGCGATATGACTGACTGCCTTTCTGTCCTAGTCACGCTAGGAGTACAAGAAAACCACAGACTGGCAATTGGAGCTAGGATAACATCATGGCCATGTGCCCTCTTAAAGGTAGATTCTGCCATATGACATCATCATGCAAAGCCAAGCAACTTCCTGCTTGCAGACAACAAGATAATTAATATCAGCAAAAATACTACTAATTGCCAACATTCGGCCTCCCTTGAGACATGCCCACATTGGAGAGTGGCAAATAGAGGCAAATTCTAAGTTTGTTGTTGTTGATTTCTTTAAAACAGGAAGTCGCCCCACTTTGCATGACAATGTAATTTTGCTAAGTCTACCTACAACACTCTGAGTCCGTCTTTAAAGAGCCACTGAACACGCCTATTGACAAGTGTGTTTTTCTGTTGCTCATTAGAAAAACAGGATTTCAGTCTTGGAGCTGTGTTTCCTGACTGATTCCACATTTGGTTAATGATGTTTGTCCCCCATTTCACTTCCTCAAAATCCCCAGAATGAATCGGGGATAACTCAAGAAATCTGTCATCCATTTTTACGTTTTTGCTGAGGATGTTTTAGCTGCGCAATTTTACATCTAACTAAGGTGTTTGGTGCAGTATTTCTCAAGTAAAAACATTTGCGACGTGTTGTCTTATGTAAACAAAGTCTGCTGGGCAGTCTGTCTCACTGTATATGCTACTGGATAGAGAGCTATCACTGCAGCTGTTCACCCCATGTTAGTGGGCAAATGTACATCGTCAAATCAAAACCCAACCTTCATTTACCTGTTGTGACACACAGATGTTCCAAACTCAGTTTTAGGCGAGACTGACTTTATGACCAAAATTATCCTATTTACACTTTGTAGTCAATTTTGACACTAGAATAACTGTTTCTGATTCCTATCAATGCCACATAGGCCATTTTCAAGGGGATTTGTTGCTTTTTAAAGGCAGTCACTCTTTAACAGTATATAGCTGATTTGAGTCCTATTTGTATCTTGTAAAGCTGCTTAAAAAGATATGTGGACCCCAGCTTGTTTCTCTGTATACAGCACACTTCTCAACAGAAAATGTATTTAAACTAACGCTGTTCATCAACTAAACCACACTTACACTAATGTATTCATTTATTGAATGGTAATAGGTACATTTTTGACTAAATACACTTAAGGAAGCCCATGCTTGAACCCCCCCCCCCTTTTTCAAAGGGGACGCGGACATTGGAGGCATTTGCTAATTCCCTGGCATGTCCCTGTTTGCTTGGCACCACTCACTGAATGCATGGCATGTAAAGACATACATTGTGCTTTTGTACGACCTGTCGAATACAAATCGACCGAACATCAAATTACATGCAAAGTAGCACACTTGTATTTCCATACACAAATGTATAGGAGATCTATCATTGCTGGCTCTTGGCCTGCGTCCCAAATTGAACCCTATTCCCTATGTAGTGCAATACTTTTGATCCGGACCCATAGGGATCTGGTCAAAAGTAGTGCACTATGTAGGGAAAAGGTTACCATTTTGGATGCACTCTTGCAGTGGATGACCAAGCCTTTATCAGAATAGGGGAATGTTCTGGCTTCCAATTGAAGCTCGCATCCGCTACAAGACCATGGTGCTTGCCTTTGGAGCAGTGAGGGGAACGGCACCCCTGTACCTTCAGGCTCTGATCAGTCCCTACACCCAAACGAGGACATTGCGTTCATCCACCTCTGGCCTGCTGGCTCCCCTTCCTCTGCGGAAGCACAGCTCCCGCTCAGCCCAGTCAAAACTGTTCGCTGCTCTGGCACCCCAATGGTGGAACAAGCTCCCTCACGACGCCAGGACAGCGGAGTCACTCACCACCTTCCGGAGACATTTGAAACCCCACCTCTTTAAGGAATACCTGGGATAGGCTAAAGTATTCCTTCTAACCCCCCCAAATTGTAAAGTGGTTATCCCACTGGCTATAGGGTGAACGCACCAATTTGTGAGTCGCTCTGGCTAAGAGCGTCTGCTAAATGACGTTAATGTGCCCTTGAGCAAGGCACTTAACCCTAATTGCTCCTGTAAGTCGCTCTGGTTAAGAGCGTCTGCTAAATGACTAAAATGTAAAATGTAAAATGTTCTTTTCCCCTCAGAGAATAATCAGTTCTTATGGAAATGTGGCTTCTTTTTTTTTTATGGGTCGCCAATGATGATGTCCTTGTGCTATCCCCCACCGTCGACGTTCTCGTACTGCATGTACAGTGGGGTCCGAAATTATTAACACCCTTGATAAGGATTAGCAATAATGACTGTATAAAAGAAATCATTCAAATTGCGAAATGATATAATTGTATACATTTGCTTAGAGAAAGAGATTTTGTTTAGCAAGTAATATAAAAAACATCTCAAAAAGGTACGGGTTAAAATGATTGACACCCCTAAAGATTCTTATAAATAAAGTAGTCAGAAGTGTAGTATTTGGTCCCATATTCCTATGGATGTATTTGCAGTTAGTTTTGGTTGTGTTTCAGATTATTTTGTGGCCAACAGAAATGAATGGTAAATAATGTATTGTGTTATTTTGGAGTCACTTTTATTGTAAATAACAATATAATATGTTTCTAAACACTTCTACATTAGTGTGGACGCTACCATGATTTACGAATAATTCTGAATGAATTGTGAATAATGATGAGTGAGAAAGTTACAGAGGGCCAAAGATCATGCCCCCAACACATGGTAACCTCCCCTGTTATTGGTAAAGGTTAGCATGTCTTGAAGGTATGATCTTTGACCCTCTAATTTTCTCACTAATTATTCAGGATTTATTCAGGATTATCCGTAATCATAGTAGCATACATATTAATGCAGTAGTGTTTAGAAACATATTATATTCTTATTTATAATAAAAGTGACTCAATACATAATTTATCATTCATTTCTATTGGGAACAAACTAATCTGAAACACAACCAAAACGAACTGCAAATGCATCCAACAAGTTTGTAGTCACAAGCTTGATGTAGTCATTGCGTGCTAGGAATATGGGACCATATACTAAACTTTTCACTACTTTATTTATAAGAATCTTTAGGGGTGTCAATCATTTTGAACCCTACCTTTGAGGGAAAAAAATATATAACTTGTTAAACAAAATCTCTTTCTCTAAGCAATTGTATTAGTATATAATTTCCCAATTTTTTTTAGCATACAATATAGCTCAGTATTTGAATTATTTATTTTATACAGTCATTATTGCTCATCTTTATCAAGGGTGTCAATAATTTTAGACCCCACTGCATATCTTGGAGAACCAGAAGTAGAATAGAATACTTTACTGCCTTTGAGAGAAGTTGTCCTATAGGCTACACTGTATTCCAGGTAGCCTCCACATACAGATAATTCCAGTTATCAGAATAAGACGTGTGCATAGGCAGTAGTTGGATAAACAAAGCCCACATAGAATTGAAAACAATCAATTCTAATTCTATGGATAGATTCTATATAAAAACACTGTTATGGCAGGCGGCTTGATTGAATACAATTCCCCTGATTCACACAGCAGGGGAAAGGCAGAGCACTTTGACTTTGCGTGTGGGAGCAGCCCTAATAACACAACACTGCCCTTCTATTCAGACAGATCAGACAGCTCCGGGGTGAAGTTTCCCCTAAGTACATATCTAGGATCAGCTTCCCCTCCCCCAATCCTAAAAATGCTAAACTGACCCATGATGAGTATCTGGGGCAACTTAACCCTACTCCTATCAGACATTGGCCTGCGAGGTCTAGTCTGTGGTAAAAAAAATAAATAAAAAATGTTTCACAGTGTGGGGCATCTAATGAGATCGATTAGGCTAAACTTCTCATTAATGGCGCATCAGTATGACTGAGTATAAACCTCATTAGCAATAGGGAGTCTAATTGGTGGAGGATAAGGTGATGAGCTAAGTGCTATGAGATCTTCGGAAAGGTTTGCTGTAATTGCAAATTGTTCCTCTGTTATTAGGTGAGATAAACATAGGCTTCGGGCATTTGACCACGATGACTCGGACTAGAGGCTCTATATGACCTTCCTTTAACAAATGTCAACTAAAAGGTTCTGTATTTCATAACAACTCACTGTTGATAGGGATAGACTGAATTAATCGTGGATGGTGGTCTTAATCCGAAATCTAATTACTGACAAAGCCCTTCTTGCGCCTGCAAATTTCTCCCCAAAAAACAACTTGTGTGAGATGCCTTGAGGAAATCTAAATAACCTTTTTTGTGACATTCACTCTTGGTGAATTATTGTGCTGTGGTGATAAAAATACTAGAGCGCTCAAAAGTAGGCATGGGAGGAGAACAAGTTGAAATGATACACACAAGTTGTTATGGGACCAACTGACCATTACATTTTGTTAAACAGGTTGATTGAATTGTTGATATACCATGACGGACACAAATGGAAAGCTAATTAATTGGAATAGAGAGTGACTAGAGATGAAGTTTGCTGTGACGGCAGTTACAAGCTACAGGAGTAATCCAACCCCACTGGAGTCATTGATTATTCATGCCAATAACAGCATCCAACAAATGAGCATCTGTCGATACATGCATCATCGGGGCAAAGCCATCCTACGGAGTCCAACTTCAAAGAACTGTTGCGTTTCCTCTTGAAACGGGGACCTTTTCAGTTAAAGCGGTATCATTTTCTCCATTACGCGTTTCAAAAAAGATATTAGCACTAACCCTTGACTTGTGGTTGAGTGGATCTTTAATAAATGTTGGCAGATTGGGATAAGCTTGCGAGCCGCCACCGCCGGTCAGCTCCCAATGTTTTTAAACTGCGGCCTGGGTCCAGGCCATATGGCCAGGCTCACGTGACTTTACTATTGAATCAACGTAGCAGCAGCAACCCTCCCCCGTTCCCAACCCCCACTGTGCTGAGCATTACTCTGGGAGCAGAAAAACAGTACTGGGTGAAAGCAAACACAACCCAGTCGCTCAAATGTTTACATTTTGACATAGCATTGGGGACAATGGGAAATGTAATTGAAAATCTCCACCACAGCCGTGGAGCAGTACTTTTGACTAATCGCCTAATGAATTTATAAATAGCTCTAAATATAGCAGCAGGAAGATTGTGTGTGTGTGTGTGTGTGTGTGTGCTTGCTTACTGGTCACTGTGGTAACAGTTGCAAAGGCACTCCGTAACCTCAGGTGTGGGATGAGTTTAACAATGGTAATCAATGGTATTTGGAACCAGATAACAGAGTCTAGCCTATCAACTAATCTATTATTTACCCCTATCTGTATCACCCCTGACCCTGCTAAATAATTGCGTTGTTTCCACAAAATTATCGTGTCTCCCATTTAACTGGTGTTACCTTTTGGTGCTAACCCTGGCTAATACCTCACTTGTAGGTAGGAGGTCCTTGGAAGTTGAGTCCAAATCAGTTCTTAGTTCACATAACCACATGATGGAACAGCCTGAAATAGATTTAGCCTTAGCACCATATTTATGAATTCTACCAGGGCTAACAATGATCTTCCAGGATCTCGACCTATATAAAGAAACACAAGATGTTGGGCCAACATTGGGCTCCCAAGAGGAACAAACAGACATGCTAAGTTATATTTCCCTCATCAATTTTACAGTTTAACAATGCAGGGTCATTGTTCTTCAAATAATAGCTGTACTTCTTGTTTTGTGTCTACTTTCCAACAACCCATGTTTAACTAGCAAAATTACACAACTGATAAGGCAACTATCTTCTTCTTCACTAGGTTCAACTGTTGTTGTCAAGATGTGTCATACACTCATTAGTCAAGATTTTTTTTAAAGAACAGTGTCTGGTTGAACAAGAAAAGGGAAAATGTTTAGATGTTGTTGAGGATGACATGTTGTCTCTAATTCACACATCACTAGGGTATATTGTTACACAGTAACCATGTACTCTACCATGTCCAAGGTCTATAAGGACAGTAAACCCTCACTTGGAAACACCGGACCTCAGGGGAGCCAAACAAGTGAGACACTCAAGAGCTTAGATAATATCTTGATTTACCATTCTGCAGACCAGCTAATAATAGAATACCATTGTGCCCATTGTGTGTGGAAACCTGCACCCACCTCATGGAAAATCCAAATGTAGAACCCTATTCAGTCAAAGGTTGTCTAGGGTACGACTGACAAAGATTAGTGCAATGCAGGAAAGCCTGTTCAAATTTGTAGGAAGATTAGTTTGTATTTTGTTTCACATAGTACAGTTTTATAAACAAATTCAGTCACACTTTCTTGCAGCACACAAAGAGGATCTTGTAAGTCTCTTACCCAAGAGTGGTTACAGCAGTTGTGCTCTGGGTCTGGGGTAAGATTTGAGGCTCACACTACCTCTCATTTGACTATGAATGGTATACATTCTACTCCCGATGCAAGGGCCTGAGACTGCTATGAATGGATGCACTCAACCAAAGTATGCATTATCAGTACTTCTGTACCTAAACAGTTTGAACTCCAATGTGCATTTACCTGTAATCAACTGCAAGTTTTCCAGTATCACTGCCAAGTGAGATCAAGTTTATAAATTGTCTTACAGGGCTGATGCGAGAGAGGATTGCGCAGTCAGATGGAACAGAGTAAATAGGCATTTTAACGTCATAGATTTAGCCGGTGGTAACTTGTGGAATAGGCACCGGCTGGAATGCGGTTTTAACCAATCAGCATTCAGGATTAGAACCGCCCGTTGTATAAAAAAACAATAAGGGTTACATTTTGTAAGCTGGGCTGTTCTACATGAATTCAATCACTTTTTGACAGCACCCCTTTTGATTTGAACGAAACCTTCCATTCATGTTTTCCCATGGTAGAAGTGGTCAGAAAGTGACTTTTTGGACATGAAGGCGCTCAAAGTTGACCCATTTTGCATGAGATTAGACATCCATATCTTCATCACTGAAAAACATCAACAATTGAGTTTGATATCATTTGAAAGCTTACAGAGTTGTCAAACTATTGTATAATTTATTTTTATTTTAATAAAAATTGTCATTTTTTAACCTTTAAAACTAAAATCTGCAGTTGAAACAATAACAAAGCGGCACCCCACCTCTGTTTTGGTGAAAAGCTAACAAATGGGCCTGGAGAAATGTAACCACTAAAATCCATAGACAGAGATATGGATTCAAGGACTGACTAACCATGATATCAAAATGATAGTTTTAACCATGTTGAGGCTATACAGTGTTTGTTTACATTTATTTAATTTTTTTACAAACATTGGGGTAAAACAATCTTATATGGTTCTGATGGGGTACGACAATTGAACTAAGCTCATGAGGCATTTATAAGTTATATTCTTCAAGAATCAATGGGTATATAAGTCCAAAAATGGATGTAGCAACTAAGGATTGTAGCTTTAACATAAATGATCTAAAAATGCGTAGGCCTAAACGCAGTTTTTTCATTCAATAAGCATTGAACAGAAGGAAATCTGACAGATTGTGCTAAACTTTAAGATTCTGGAGGTTATTCCCGAGTTTGCCATTGCAAATGTAAGTACCAAAGCCTAATGATGAATTATGGCTTTCCAGAAGTGAAATAGGCTATTCCCACTGGGCACAAACTGTTTTATTTTGTTGTACTTTTACCCGTTTTTCATGATATCCAATTGGTAGTTACAGTCTTGTCCCATCACTGCAACTGCCCTACGGACTCGGGAGAGGCGAAGGTCGAGAGCCAAGCGTCCTCCGAAACATGATCCTGCCAAGCCGCACTGCTCGCTTAACCCAGAAGCCAGCTGCACCAATGTGCCAGAGGAAACACCATCCAACTGGCGACCGAAGTCAGCTTGCAGGCACCCGGCCCGCCACAAGGAGTCACTAGAGTGCGATGGGACAAGGAAATCCTGGCCGGCCAAACCCTCCCCTAACCCAGACAACGCTGAGCCAATTGTGCTCTGCCTCCTGGGTCTCCTGGTCACTGCCAGCTGTGACACAGCCTGGGATCAAACCCGGGTCTGTAGTGACACCTCAAGCAACGCGATGCAGTGCCTTAGACCGCTGTGCCACTCAGGAGGCTGTTGTTTTTTTTACGAGATTACAATCAATCAACTTGACACTCATTGGATTTACACACAAAAAGGCAATGGTCAAAAACATTATTATCACCATGTCATCCAACAGTGTTGTGTATGGACAGAACAGCTTACACTTAGTTCATGTCAGACAACCACAAACCTTTAAATTGGGATTTTACTTGTGTGTAGTCCACTGAAGCTTTTCAGGCGAAATATGGTGTAGTAGCCTAATTGACAATTAACCTCATATGCATGCAGCATGATTTTAAACCATTCTTTAATTTCAGAAATGTTATGAGTCATAAGATATGATTTAAGGAAAGCAAAACCTGCTAGCTAGACATTCAGAGAACACATGGAATTGCTGAACAACATTAGCATGAGCAACATTAGTGGAATCAGCGGCTCGCCTTCAAAATAAAAGTCCACCATTGAAACTGATGTAAACAGATGAAACTAGTGAAAATAAAGTCCCGCAATAAGAGCTACGGCACTAATATTTGTGCATACTCTTTAGAATTGTAATCTGTGGGTGTCACGGAGTAGGCTGAAACCCCATTTCATAGACCCAGGATCCATAGGTTGACTGGTGAGCTTAAAGGAAGAATCCACCCAAAACCACCCATTCCTTTAATTTACAGTGTTAAATAAAACTAATATGTGAGAACAATATTTTTTGTGAACAAATGTTTCATTTTGGCGTTAAAGTAAGGTTGGTAGCGATAGTGAAAATCGTTGTGGGAATCTGTTGCATCTCAAGTCTATTACAAAATCCACAATGCAATGCTCTCTATGGGCTGGCTGGCTAGCTGGCTAGCTAGCTAACTAGCAAACGTAGCTATACACAATAATACCAAAGAAATATCAGCATGTAACGTAGCTAGTTAGCTGTAAAATTGCCTAAACAAACTGCACGATCAATTTAGGAGTCTACAATCTCACCATGTTCAACCTGCAGATCGATGTGCCTCACAGAGTGGGCCGTGAGGTGCATTCTGGGCGATTCTGGGACAAGGAGCGCTCTCAGTCAAGGAGTGAATGGGAGTCTATTGGGCGGTAGCTCAAAAACCCAACATTAGCACTAATTTCGTCAACAAGAAGTACAACATTACAAATCTTTTCCGAGATGTGAGATAATGAAATTGCTATCTGTAGTATCGTATAGCTTTGGAATCGTAACATTAAGTACTTTCGAAGAAAATAGGCACGTTTCTTGACATATACACTGACTTTGAGAAGGGATTGCGTGACGATTAGCTTAGCAACCGCGTGATGCATCATGACAATGTGAACGCGATTGGTCGACAGTCTGCTGGGTGGGGCGTTATACATTCCTTGGATTCCTATTTCCTTTCTATAATACAGTACCTCTAGCAACGGCACCATGCAATGCACCCGTGACTAAAGAGGCAGACAAACAGGAAAAATGTGCTAAACCCTCCATTAAATTACACATTTCTCAAGGTAGGAATATCACAAAAATATGATCAATGACACATTCAAGAGAAGACATCCTCTCGAGTTATGACATCGGCCAGTATTGAAATCTTACATGTATGATAGACATTTTGCAATCTAAAAGTCGTATTCCTATTAACTTCCAGTGCAGTGAGAACGACTATCAAGGTGCTATGTGATACCAGACGGAGTTCTGCCTGCTTGATTGCCAATAACTTAGATACACATGAAAAGGGGATAGGGATACACAAAAACAATATAACATTCAAAATGGGTGAACCTTTCCTTTAATATGTTGCTGATTTCACAGTGGTTTCAGAGTCCCGCAATAAGAGCTACGACAGCTAATATTTGTGAAAACTGTTTACAGTTCTGTTCTGTGGGTGTCACTGAGTAGGCTGATACCCCATTTTAAATGGACCCAAGATCCATAGGTAAGGCTGTAACATTGCAATATATGTATACCCCCATTGCAATTCTGAAGTCTATACATCCACAGTGCAATTTCAAATGATTTTTTACTTTTTTGTGTCAGATTAACTAGTTATCGTCTTTTGTAGAATTTATATAACAACACTCCAACCTTGTTTAGCAGTTTCTAGTACAATTGTGGCATGATTCCACAATGTTTATCTGTTTGCATCAGTTTCAATGGGGGACTTTTATTTTGAAGGCAAACCGCCGATTCCACTACTGTTATTCATGCTACACTGTTATTCATGCTAATGTTGTATAAAACACTCTGATCAAGGAAGCCCATAATTGGCCAAGATGTGGGGTATTCAGACTTCATAAGCAAGGTTACAAACAGTTAATAGCCCACTGTGCTTTATTATTACTCTGGATTGGAAGACTGGGTTTACTGAAAGTCATTAACACAGCCAGTGATCAATTGGAAATGGAAGGCTACAAGCGCGGCAGGTAGCCTAGCGGTTAAGAGCGTTGGGCCAGTAACTCAAACGTCATTGGTTCGAATCCCGACTTGACTAGGTCAAAAATCTGTCGACGTACCATTGAGCAAGGTACTTAACCCTAATTGCTCTTGTAAGGCTGCTAAATGACAAAAATATTCAGTATTTACAGAACCTGCTATTCGTTACACTGTCTGTTGCCAGCAACATGTTGATTGTCAGTGTGCTAAAAACCTGTTCAGATTTTGTGTGGTGATCCTGCCTTTGTCTCAATATAACAGAGGAATAGGGATGCTATAGGCTGAGGAACAAGATAAAACATAGCCTAAGGAGTGAGGTCATATGCTAAACAATTCTTCATCTTGTCTAATCGAAATCTTAAATCATATAACACGAACATGTGACCTCAAACCTTAGGCTATGTGTGTTACAATAACTCACCGGCATCATATTGGCTCCGTATCGCATGCAACGTTGTCTACTGCTATCTTCGGCTCGAGGATATTAAATCCCTCACGTATTCGATAATCCAACAGAGGAGTGACATCCGATCAAATGTATTCCTTTTTTCTGTCGGCCCCGTCTATTATACGCACGAGCGCCTCTCTAATTTTACGTTCTCCCGTTCCACAATTATTTATGTTGTCATTACTGGAGACCTGTTGCACTGGTACTGTAACAAGGCTCGTCTCAATGACAACGATCTATCCCTTGAAATAATTTATCAGGATTAGTCCGGTGGCCACCTAATCGACATGGCCATTTGGCCCAACAAAGGTCTTGTGCAAATGTGCAGCCATGAATAATAGAACGGCAGAAATAGTCTACTGTACGTCCACTGTTAAATCCAATTTTCAATCCATTTTTATCCCTATCTATTAAAGACTTACATTTTTAGACGAATGTGTATCTATAAGGGCACTTGCCAACTAGAAAAGCTATCGGTTGAATTAACAAACGTCGGCAACCCAACCCTAAAGCGAGTGACGCGTTCTGCGAATATAATAATGCTGCGTTCGTTACCAAATGGGAAGGTGGTAATCATCAGTTGTGAAGCGGTAATAGGAGTTGTGTGCATTCACATTACATCTTAGTCATTTAGCAGACGCTCTTATCCAGAGCAACTTACAGTTAGTGAGTGCATACATTTTTCATACTGGCCCCCCGTGGGAAACGAACCCACAACCCTGGCGTTGCAAGCGCCATGCTCTACCAACTAAGCAACAGGGGACCTATGGGGGACCACATGCATTCAACACATTGAGATACGCTGATTGGCTAATGGCAAACAAGCTGTGTCAACCATCAATTAAAAGTAGAGCTATCATGATCGTAAACAAATTAGACTTCAAAAAACATATTACTAGATTCGTTTTAAAATAATACTGTTTTGTTGTTGCATTTAACTGCCAAAAATGCTGTTATAGAAGCCTGGTCTTATAGACTAGCCGGAACATAGTAAACACACTCAAATGATTATGGTATGTTAAGTTTGGTATATAGTTATGTAAGACTTTTTGGGCGACCAAACCAAATTCAAAATTAAATCAAATCAAATGTTATTTGTTGTTATATTATTATGTATGTCTGCTAAATGACTAAAATGTAAATGTTATTGTTGCTCTTTTTTTTTATTTACTTTAGTTTATTTAGTAAATATTTTTCTTAACTCTTATTTTTCTTAAAACTGCATTGTTGGTTAAGGGCTTGTAAGTAAGCATTTCACGGTAAGGTCTACACCTGTTGTATTCGCTGCATGTGACAAATCAAATCAAATCGTATTTGTCAAATGCGCCGAATACAACAGGTGTAGACCTTACTGTGAAATGCTTACTTACAAGCCCTTAACCAACAATGCAGTTTTAAGAAAAATAAGAGTTAAGAAAATATTTACTAAATAAACTAAAGTAAAAAAAAGTAACACAATAAAATAACAATAACGAGGCTATATATACAGCGGGTACCGGTACCGAGTCAATGTGCGGGGGTACAGGTTAGTCGAGGTAATTGAGTTAATATGTACATGTAGGTAGGTGTAAAGTGACTATACATAGATAATAAACAGCGAGTAGCAGCAGCGTAAAAAAAAGGGGGGTCAATGCAAATAGTCCGTGTAGCCATTTGATTAGCTGTTCAGCAGTCTTATGGCTTGGGAGTAAAAGCTTCTAAAGAGCCTTTTGGACCTAGACTTGGCGCTCCAGTACCGCTTGCCGTGTGGTAGGTAGCTTAGTGGGTAAGAGTGTTATGCCAGTAACCGAAAGGTCGCTGGTTCTAATCCCCGAGACGACTAGGTGAAAAATCTGTCGATGTGCCCTTAAGCAAGGCACTTAACCCTAATTGCTCCTGTAAGTCGCTCTGGATAAGAGTGCCTGCTAAATGATGTAAAAACAGTCTATGACTAGGGTGGCTGGAGTCTTTGGCAATTTTTAGGGCCTTCCTCTGACACCGCCTGGTATAGAGGTCTACAGCCCCGTCGATGAGAATGGGGGCTTGCTCGGCCCGCCTTTTCCTGTAGTCCACGATCATCTCCTTTGTCTTGATCATGTTGAAGGAGGGATTGTTGTCCTGGCACCACACTGCCAGGTCTCTGACCTCCTCCCTATAGGCTGTCTCATCGTTGTCGGTGATCAGGCCTACCACCGTTGTGTAGTCGGCAAACTTAATGATAGTGCTGGAGTCGTGCTTGGCTATGCAGTCGTGGGTGAACAGGGAGTACAGGAGGGGACTAAGCACACACCCCTGAAGGGCCCCTGTGTTGAGGATCAGCGTGGCAGAAATGTTGTTGCCTACCTTTACCACGTAGGTGTTCCTTTTGTCCAAGTGGGAAAGGGCAGTGCGGAGTGCAATAGAGATTGCGTCCTCTGTGGATCTGTTGAGGCGGTATGCGAATTGGAGTGGGTCTAGGGTTTCTGTGATGATGGTGTTGATGTGAGCCATGACCAGCCTTTCAAAGCACTTCATGGCTACAGATGTGAGTGCTACGGGTCAGTAGTCATTTGGGCAGGTTACCTTGGTGTTCTCGGGCACAGGGACTATGGTGGACTATGGTGGTCTGCTTGAAACATGTAGGTATTACAGACTGGGTCAGGGACAGGTTGAAAATGTCAGTGAAGACACTTGCCAGTTGGTCAGCACATGCTCTGAGTACACGTCCTGGTAATGTGAGTTATAGATCTGTCATTCTCATTGAAAGCAAGTCTAAGAAGCGGTAGATCTGTTCTATGTGCGCTATTTCGATGCTTCCTGTTCTTATGTTTAGTTTTTGCATTTTTACTTTTAGTTTTGTACACCAGCTTCAAAAAGCTGAAAATACAATATTATTGAAAATATATTTCACAGTGGTTTAGATGTTAAAATGATTCTCTACATTGCTTGTTTTGTCACATAAACTGAAATTAGGTGAACTATTAGAATTTTAGCATCCAGGAAAAGGCGGAGCGATTTCTGCATATTGCACCTTTAAGGCAAAAACTAAAGTAGGCTGGATGGGTGGGCATATACCGCGAAAGTCTCGCAACCCAATGGTTGCGCATTCAAATCTCATCAAGGACAACTTTAGCATTTAAACTAATTAGCAACTTTACAACTACGTACTACTTTTTAGCTACTTAGCATGTTAGCTAACCCTTCCCCTAACTCTTTAACCTAACTCATAACCTTAACCCCTAGCCTAGCTAACGTTAGCCACCTAGCTAATGTTAGCATTAACCACCCAGCTAACATTAGCAACAACAAATTGGAATCTGTAACATATCATACGTTTTGCAAATTCATAACATATCATACGAATTGTAATTTGTAGGATTTCATATGAAATGGATGATGGACATCCACAAATTAATACATAACATACTAAACCTAACATATACTAATTGGAGTGTCCCGGATTTACATGTACTATGTTACGTCTACCCCTGAGTCCAGGTTGGTTATAGAGGTCCTTTACCTTTGTCAATGACATCAGAGTTGAGCATGTGAGAGAAGTGGGTGCTTATGCCGCATTCACATGGTAGTCGGAAATAGGAAACTCGGAAATGTCCTACTTGCTGATTCGTTGAAAGTGCATGTGGTCCTCTGTAGCTCAGCTGGAAGAGCACGGCGCTTGTAACGCCAAGTTAGTGGGTTCGATCCCCGGGACCACCCATACACAAAAAAAAATGTATGCACGCATGACTGTAAGTCGCTTTGGATAAAAGCGTCTGCTAAATGGCATATTATTATTATTATTATTATTATAACTACAACCAGTTAGCAAGTTGGAAATATCAGAGTTTCCTAGTTCCGACTAGCATGTGAAAGCGGCATAAGCTTCCACCCACCCATTAGAGATGATAGAAGGGTTTCCCAGGAATTACCAGTTGGAGGGCCGTTCAAATGTATTTTTCCAATCATATGTTAAATACCACCTTCCCACTTGGTTGTGAATGCAGCTGAATCCCCCCTGGCAACAATAAACTCCTCCTTGTTTCACCGTGCTGGGATGTGGCTTCTACCGCCCCCATGACAGCGTGTTGAAAAGAGGGATGTCCACAGTAGCATTGAAATACAGGTACAATATAATGTAGTTTAGGGAAGTTCAATCAGTAAGGCTGGTCTGAATGCTTGAGTTAACTTAATACAGTAAGCATAATATAATTCACATAATTTCCTATTCTATATGCATAGTGGGAATGTACATGTTAGAGGTTACAAACATTATCATCATCAGCATAGAGCCCCACAGTGGTGGTGTCATAATACTGATAAAAGCTAGCGGTCAAACAGGGAAATGGTTCCAATCATTCATTTTTCTCATAGGGGATTTTAGAAACACTTAAAATAAGTGCTGTGTTTCGTGTAGGCTTACCCTGGCGTGACGTTTTGATAACCATGGAAATCTCTCTCAGACAAGGTAACTTTTATGGATATTATGACTCACACTGTGGTACTCTATAGTGTCATATCTCTCCTCCCGCTTAATGTCATGCGCCGTTCACGTGCTAGTCAGAACTAGGAAACTCTGACATTTTCGACTTGCTATCTGGATGAACACGGCAAGTATATAGCTACAACAAATTAGCAAGTTGAACATTTCTGAGTTTCCTAGTTCCGACTAGCAAGTGAATGCGGCATCATTCACCTACACTAAACAATTTCTGTATGGACCTCGCTTTGTGCACGGGGGCATTGTTATGCTGAAACAGGAAAGGGCATTCGCCAAACTGTTGCCACAAAGTTGGAAGCACAGAATCGTCTAGAATATAATTGTATGCTGTGAAAAACAGCCCCAGACCATTATTCCTCCTCCACTAATCTTTACAGTTGGCACTATGCATTGGGGCAGGTAGCGTTCTCCTGGCATCTGCCAAACCCAGATTAGTCCGTCGGACTGCCAAATGGTGAAGCGTGATTCATCACCCCAAAGAACGCGTTTCCACTGCTCCAGAGTCCAATGGCGATGATCTTTACAC